ACCGTAATCATCATCGGAGTTTTCCTCGTAGAGTTCTTCGTCGTCTTCATACCGTCTCTTTCGCTTGCGCAGGCCGAGCCCCTCGAGTTCGTCATCGAACCGGTAATCATCGTAAGCGGGCTGTGCAAATTAAGTGTCAGCAAAAGTGAGCGACGATGGATGAGTAGGACTTGAGGCGGGAGTGAAATTCCTGGCCCCAGGCAAAGCAAAACCGGAGCGGGACCAAAAACGCCCTGAGACTCCAAAAAGGTGGTGGATGTCATGGTGAGAACGTCCAAGCGATGTGATCTTTGAGTGAGATCTTACCATACTGCTTCCTGGGCTGCAAAGCAGTATCTTGAACGAAGCTCGTAACGTGGTCAGGAAGATGAGGGGTTTAAAGAGTATTCAACGATCAAGATGTGGTCGCGATAATGAAGACCTGACAATTTCTGGTCCAAGTGTAAGAAATGGTAGGGAGTGAGAGAAATAGTGTGAATCAGGAGGCGGGGGGGTTTTTGAGTCAAGGAGGAGGTAAGAGTGTTTGTTGCCCAAGTGTAGACGACAACCGACGACAGTTCGATCTGAAATTGTAATTTCCAGCCGACCCTACAAAGCTCCAGAACCCAAGCCTAGGTGAGGTTTTCTAAGCCCAGGTGGGAGAAGGTGCCACTCGGACACATAGTCCAGCGAAGAAAGAGGAGATCTGCGCGGGCAAACAAACAGACCTGTTTCCCCGGCAGCAGGTCCTTACAACTCCAGTCTTCCATCGCAGAGTCCAAGGGTATGTCCCACCAGCATGCCACTAGTCATTGCTTTCATCTTCTTCGTGTACGATCGAAAAATGGGGTAGTATCGCGCCAAACAGGTATCGCTTACCTTGTTCCTTCGCCTACGGGTATCATAGTGTTTGGTCCCCTCATCCGAATCCTCAACCTCAACGTAGGTAAATGCTGCTCGCTCCGATGGGGGGAGCCAGGGCAAAGCAACCTCGATGTCGACACGCCTAGTGCCAGCTATATTGTGGTCTGTTACCCCGTTCGCCAAAGCATTGACACTTCCACGCCAACTTGCTAGTGACTCCGACTCTCGCTTCTTGGGTTTGGTCGAGGTGTCTGCTTTCGTCACTGCGGCGAGAGCTGCCGCGGCTTGCTCGAGGAACAAAGCAGGGTCGTCATCTTCAGCCACCGCGGGGGAAGGAATCAAGCGCTGAGGGTCCGGTATGGCAGCATCGGAGTCAGGAAACGCCCTGGACCGATCGGCGACAGATGCGGCCGGTGATATTGGTTTGGGCGCTGGCTGTGCGGTAGCAATCTCAATCTCGTCTTCAGAGAGATCAGATTGAAAGGTATACGCCATGGGCTCCGTTGCCGTTGACACGAACAGCTCGTCTTCGGAGCTTGGGTGGGCGTTATCGTTGTTTGCCATGTCGTCTGGAAGACATGGGATCGTCGTTGATAGCGGGCGAGAAGTGCTTTGGCCAGCACCAGATAAGTGACCAGGGGGGGTTTCTGTCCTGTCTGTATGCGCCCAAAGTTAGAGGGATTAGCAACTTGCTGAGGACAGTGTGAAATTGGCCAACCGTTAATACATGTGTTGCGGAGATATGTACCAGCGTGAGAACTGGAGCGGTATACAATGTGGCGGCCTCGAAGATGTTGCGCGGAGGATTTGGGTTACTGTGAAGGGAGGAGGGGGACGCGACAGCCGAGAATAGTTCGGAGAAAGAGACGCGACGTTGACTAGTCTAGAGGTAGAATTAAGGACAGTGCCCGGGTGACAACCTAGGTACAGTAGACTAGAGGTAGACGGGATACCTGTAGGTAGGTAGGAATTGAACGGAAGTGATTCCTGACGCGCATGAGACGACGGGACTCGTGGAAGCTTTCCCCCCACAACGCGCAGCCCTATCACTGACTGACATTGATCCACTCTAGGAGGCTCTTCAGTGGAACACGGGGAGCTGCCGCCGTGAACGTCAGCACCAAAAGACATGCAAAAGAGGGGTTCTTAACAATTCCGCACCTTCTGCACAGACCCCGGGCATCTTTGCCTTTTGAGATTTTTAGCCTCTCAAGGGGAACAAGGGAGATGGGGATCCGCCGTTGGGGCCTAGAATCAGATCTTGCATCTAGACGGATTGACCTCACGTCCTGTGCTTTGCACTCTCTTTTTCTAAAGAAGAAATTTCAAAGGGGCTTATACACTCGCTCTTCAGTGTTTCTCACGATTTATACAAAGGACATGCTCACTTGATATCATTTATATTTTTCAAAAACACATTACAGTTTTGGGCAAAGATAACCCCCAATATCAACACCGACTGCAGGTCCAAAGCAGACCATGACACTCTCCATGCTTTGCCGGGCTGCGAGGCCTACGGTACTCAGCCAAACACCGGCAGCAGCAGTTACTCTCTGCATCAGGCAGGCTCATTCTCTTTCAGCAATACACGCGGGCATCCGAAGATCGAGCAAAAACGAATCCAGCATGACATACGCCGAGAGGAAGGCAGCAAGAGAGGCACTACCCAAACCGACCTACAAGATCCGGAAGGGCAAGAAGGACATCACCGAATACCCCGCCAAGGCCGACCCTCAAACACGACGGGCTCGATTCTACGATCCCGAATCCAACTTTGGCAAGAAAAGCTTGGTGTACAGACTCAAGACCGGTCAGCTGGACGAGGACGTCAAGGATGCGCTGGTGCGTGAAACAGGAAAGACTCCCTGGAAGGAGAAGGAGGCCAAGTCAGCTGGAAAGAAGTCGGCTTCAACCCCTGCATCCAAATTCAACAAGGACCTCTTGGACCCAGCAGACTTTCATGCGGCCTTCACGGGAGCTTCATCATCGGAGCCCGCCAAGTCTGATAGGCCTGAGAGGCGGATATCAGCACCATCCCGGGACATCCGCAGGGAACCCCGTCAGGGCTCCTTCAGGGAACCCCGCCGGGATTCTTTCAGAGAGTCGCGAAATGGACCTCGCAGAGAGGGCTTCAGCAGAGAACCCCGTGCATTCCGTGATGATGATAATGGTTTCAGCAGGAAACCTCGGGAGGAGCGCACCGTGGAACTCAACGAGGAGCTCCGCGACGCTATCGATGAACCCTACCCAGAGCCCATGGAACCTAGGAGGGACAGCTTCAGGGTCTCCCGCAGCGAACGTCGGGAACAAAGGCCTGAAAGGAGAGACTCCTTCAGGGACACTCGCAGCAGCACACGAGAACGGAGAGAGACCGACAGAACCCCTCGCAGGGAACTGCACAGGGATCCCGACACGGAAACACCAAAATCCCTATCCATTCCCTACACCACCGCGGCCTCCCAGTTCTTGTACGGCACTTCAGTGGTAGAGGCAGCTCTTCAGTCGGCAAGACGCAAGCTGTACAAGCTGTACATCTATGCCGGAGCCAACCGTGAGAAACTGGCCAAAGACGCCGCCATCCAAAAGCTCGCTCAGCGGAACAAGGTTGAGACTGTGTTCGTCAACGAAGAAGGCCTCAAGATGATGGACAAGATGAGCGGATCCCGCCCACACAACGGTTACATTCTGGAGGCGTCCCCGCTTCCACAACCACCCGTCATCTCCCTGGGAGAGGTAGTCGATGCCGAGAGCGGCCAGGGAACAACCGGATACAAGGTTGTTCTGGGCCACCAGTCGCACGAGGAGGCCTTGATCAACGGCAAATCCGATTTCGTCGCTGCGTCCAGCGCCACTCACAAGCCACTGGTTGTGGTGGTGGATCAAATATTGGATCCCGGCAACCTTGGTGCCATTCTCCGCAGCGTCAGCTTCCTGGGCGCAACCGCCGTTGCCATTACCAAGAGGGACTCGGCATCTCTGACCCCGGTCGCGCTCAAGGCTTCTGCGGGCGCATCTGAGTCGCTCACCCTCTTCTCAATTGATCACCTCCCCAAGTTTCTTCAGGACTCGAGGGAGAATGGCTGGCTGGTCTATGCGGCCGTCCCGCGCACCAGCGGCTCTGGTAACCTGCAGAAGCACCTGGATCTCCATGAGATCGAGGAGATTGATCCTTTGGGCAAGAATCCCTGTATTCTCCTCCTCGGTAGCGAGGGTGAGGGTCTCCCGGGACAGATCAAGAGCAAAGCGGACTATGAGGTCAATATTCCCAACATGTCGGGCGGTACAGTGATCGATAGCTTGAATGTTAGCGTTGCGGCTGGCTTGCTCACATCAGCCTTCATGAAGGGACAGGTTAAGTCGGAGTTTGAGCAGTTCAAGGTTCAGGAGGAGAAGTCACATCTTTGGTGAAAATAGAGAGACAGAGGAACTTTGAGGTGACCGAGGTCTTTGTTGATGACTTCGGCGACCCTTGCCCTGTTGATGTACGATAAAGTCGTGTACGAGTGTCGCATTCACGAGCACAGCAGGTATAGATTTTGATGATACAAGACAATTTAGAATAGATACCCACCATTGATAGAGATGTACGTATGCACATTTGCAACCTTATTACAGATCTACCTCCAGACATGCCCACGAAAACCAAGCAAGGACCCAGCCCAACAACTTCGGGATTCGAAGCCGGCGACGGGAGGATGCAGGAAGGGCATGTTGGGGTTCCACCACACAGCGGGAGATCTCCGTGACCGTCGCTGTCCCACACTCCTACCTCCCACTTCCCGGCGTGGTGAACGGTCCAATGGCTGTCAAGCGCCACTTATTCGGTCCACTTGGCGCGCGCTGATTCTCTCATTCAGGCAGTTTGTTTCTTTGGGCTCGGAGGTGTCCACGGCAACCAACCTCGATCTTCAACATTGATTACGTTCGAGGAGTCTGCCTTCTTTAGAGACACCCCAGCTCTTTGTTCTCCTTCCTGGTGACACGAGAAGTCATCTAAACCTGAAGATCTCTCGAACCTTCTCCAGGTTACTTTGTGGCTCACTCATCATGCGAACACGCATCCGGCGTGTTTGACTAGGTTGGTGATTGAACCTCTCACCGCTCGCAAGGTATCCCGGGAGCCCGGGTCCGGGTGTGTGTCCATAGAGGTACTCCCAGCCACCCAAAAGTTAAGGCTGCGAGCTGAGTAGCAACACTTCAATTCTTGTTCTCTCAAATACCTTCAATTTACACAAAACAACCACAACAAAAAGAAAACGTGGAAAAAAGGGAGCAGGAAAGGAAAAAGGAAGAGGCAAGGAAGGGAAAACGAAACTCGGCAGACTCGGTCAACATGCGTCTCCTCCCACATTCACTATGGCTCTTTATAGCCGCCCACCTCGAAGCCGCGCAGGCGCAACAACAAGCTTCAGGGTATCATCATCATCAACAACTGCCCACAGCAATCAAGAAGATGTCACCCGACCAAAGCGAGAAATTCCACCCTCACTACGTCGCCTTTGCCGATTCCAGCAGTAGCCCCCCCAATAGTAACCCAAACCGCCGCCCGCTTCCCCTGCGGATGAACTTCATATCAGCCGAGGAGCAACAAGCCCCAGAAGTCAACCACCCCGTCCTCGCCGCCCGCCGTCTGGCCGATGAACAAGATGCGCTTCTTCTCCGTGCAAACTCCTCAGCACCAATCTCCTACCGGCCACCATTCGCCAACCACAATCACCGCTCTCAGCAGCGAAGGCTAGAGGAGGAGGAAGAGCGAGCATGGTCTCTCTTTCGGCGCTCACGCGAAGCGCTCGCCCGCCTGCAGCATCGGCAATGGAACTGCCCCGAGGGCACAGTCAGCTGCGCGCGTATCGGCTACCCGAACAGTTGTTGTAGGACGTCGGAGACGTGCGTGGAGATTGAGGATGTTGGGCTCGGGAAGGTGGGATGTTGTCCGGCGGGGGCGACGTGCGGTGGGTCGGTGTCGACGTGTGCGGATGGGAACATGGGATGCGCGTCGGAGATTGGGGGCGGGTGTTGTTTGCCGGGGTTTGTCTGTGCTGGTGTTGGGTGTGAGTTATCTATTTCTCTTTTTTTTTTTTTTTTTTTTTTTTTTTTTTTTTTTTTTTTTTCCCTTCCTGCCTTCACCATTCATTTTTTGCAGACCACCACCATAACAGCAAGAGTAGAGGTACTGACTTTGTGAGATAATAGGCATCGAGGCAGGCACCTCCTCCACCAGCACACTTGAAGCTCCCACTACAAGCGACATAACAGCCGTCCTCCCTCCCGTCCGCCCAACTTCCTCTCTCTCCATCACCACCACCACGACGACCACCACCACCATCACCAGCCCATCTCCAACTACGTCTAGCACCTCCCTTGATTACTGCCCAACAGGGTTCTACCCCTGCCTCGCCTCCGCCGGCGGCGGCTGCTGCCAAACCGGCCGCGACTGCAGCGTAACCAACTGCCCTCCAATCGAGCTGAGCACCATCATCAACACCAACGGCCAGACCATCGCGGTTCCCATCACCGCAGTGCCGACAACCACTTCTGCGACAGGCACGTGTGCTAGCGGGTGGTATATGTGCGGAAAAGAGGCCGGGCCACTGCCGGGATGTTGTCCGAGGGGGTACGCTTGCGGAAGCGTGAGCTGCTCGGTGGTGATCACGCCCACCTCGGGGGAATTGGCAACGGCGACGGAGGCGAAGGAGTTACCTACTCATACCAAGCCGCCGGCTGCGCCGCTGGTTGATGGGGCGGCGAGGGAGGTTGTGGGCGTAGAGGTGATTGTTGGGGTGGCGGTTGTTGTTGGGGGGATGATGCTCTGATTCGGCCATGCGAGGGTTCTTTTGACGTGGAAGAGTGACGGAGCGACGACGAACCTGGCTTCATGATGATCAATGTTAACATGTGTATATGTGGGTAGACGATTTTCTATGTTGGTTGCATCACTTTGGGGTTTCAGCGCATATCATGATATTTTGAGCTGTGTTAATGGGGCAAATGAATAAAACCAAATTCATCGCCAAACAGATATTTCAACGCTCCAAACAAGTCAAGAGTCCATCCACCTCCTCGAACCGGCACTGCGGCCTAGGCGCCAGACACCCCCCTCTCCTCGCAGTACTTCCTCACCTCCTTCTTCAACGTCTCATCCTGTCTCCTCACCAATTCCATGATATCCTTACACTCCTCACCCAAGCCACCCGCCTCATCTCCACCCATCCTCTCATACAAACCCATCATATGTCCCATCACAGCCTGCAATTGATTCGGCAACCACGTCACAATCGGACTGCCCCCCGTAGCCGTCGGATGGCTGGTCTGCTTAAGGATATACTCCCTAGCAAAGCACCAATGGCGCCAACGGAAGTCACGGACCTGGTTGAGGACCTGAATCCAAAGGCTACGCGAGTGCCTCACCTCAGCCCTCTCTTCCTCAGTCGTTGTATCATCGGTACCTCTACCACTATCGCCAAGAGCAAGCGCCCACCTCCTCAACCCCACCTCCTCGCTGCCCCTCTTCACCCATTCCAAAAACGCCCGATGATTGCTAGGTCTGTACGACCTGAAATCGTCCAAGATTCTGGTCAGCGGCGTGTCAGGCATGGGGATCTGCAAGAGGTTATCCATGAGAGGGATCATCGAGTCGTTGGCTCCGGATTCGCCGCGGAATGAGAGCGGCCTCCCGTTCGAGTCCGGAAGACCCTCGTACACGACGCCGTAGGGGAACATGCTCTGCTTGGTGATGCCAAAGATGAAGGTACGGAATGAGGTGTAGTCGTCGGGTCTGGAGCGCTTCCACATTGTTTCCATTGTGGCGTTGATTTTCTTCAGGGCGGCTAGCATCTGCGACAGGGAGACATTGAGGGATTGGCGGGCGGACAGTCCGGTCATCTCGGGACGAGTAGACGAAGAGGAGAGGGTAGACCTGCGGCAGGCGTCCAGAGAGGCCACGGCGCCGGCTACGAGCGGACCAGAGTGGCGGACCATGTCAATGTGTACGAGAACGAAACCGGCTTCTGAAGAGCTGGGGTCCAAACCATGCTCGAAGGCGCGGATCAGGCGAACGTTGGAAGGTTCGGAGAATGAGAAGCCGAGGGAGGGGTCGACAAGACGGTAGTTGAAGAGGGCATAGGAGCCGGCATATTCCATGAAGGGTTTGAACTCGCATCTTTGTTGGGGCAGAGGCCATCAGTCATTGGAAGATCACAAGTGAGGAAGGGAGAAAGACGAAAGGGTGAATAGTGGGTTGAAAGTGACCCCGAGAGGATATAAGAGTCAAAGGCAGCTGTTGTCCATTGATAAAAGAACCAAGGTAAACACTCACATCTCAGCACATCTAGCAATCGGCCTCGCCACATTTGCCGGTAATACCTGCCTCCCCAACCCATACTCCTCCCCCATCACAAACCTCTCATGGCACGGTTCCAACAGATAGGCCGACGCCAGGAACGAGTAGTCCCGATACAAGGCGTTCATCAGGGGTAGGTCATGCCTATACTTGTCCACAAACTCGGTCAAGTCCGGTAGCTCCTTGTGGACAGCTTCGCCAAGTTGCCCGTTGCCCTGGGCAAGTAGGCCTGGCTCTCCAGATGCGGTCGTGACTGGCATGCGTTGGAGGATGGATTCAAGTGGGTCGAACTCGACGGGTAGGGTCACGATGGGGTCTATTCGAGGGAGAAAGCCACGGGTGGTAGAGACCATAAAGGCATGGATGGAGACATCGTCTGGGCGAGAGTCATGGAGGATGGGGAAGTCGTTGTGGTAGGTAGTGGTGTCCTTTTCCTGGGATCCCATTGTGTGGTTGATGTCGGTAACTGATAGATGATGAAGGTGATGGTCGTTCCAAAATCGAGAAAGCGAAAACAAAGAACTTTAGCCTTCGGCTGCGTGGAGAATGATGGAGATGTAGGATGAAAGACGTAAAGACGACCGTGTGTCTCTGCGCCTATATAGGCCGTGGCCGGAATGGATTCCGGCCTCTCGTGTCACGAACAACCCAACCTGCCTTCCATGGCTTGTCCATTTCAGTTCCGAGGCCGATTTCTCTTTGTCATGAAGTGACGACTCGCAGGAGACAATAGCTACCTAGGTACCCAGGCGAGCTAGGGTATGTTATAGTTAGTCTTTGGTCCCGCCTTCCATACATCCTCCGCTGCAAGGGAGTATAAGTGAGAGATAAGTACAAGTTGGGCAACTGCGAGGAACGACGCGAAAATATTTGGTAGGCGTCATCCCATCCATTTATTGCGGTTGATAAGGGCCATGTCGTCGGACGAAAAACAAAGGCCAGAAGAAACAAGAAGTTGCGGCATACTTTTGGCACAATGTTGTCGAGTGTCTTTGTTTTGGAGAGGTCAAACGGGTCGTCCCATCCATCATTCTTACCATCGGTTGGCCGAACAACTTCCGTGTCGATAATATCAAACTGTGAAACTCAGCTACCAACACTTGGCCCGGTCTGCATCGCACCCGTACATGAACGAAGCCATGATGCTGCACCGTGTCAGCAGGCGTCCGTGTCGGTGTGCACATGGTGAACTACTAAAACCGAGATTGAGTAATGGGAATTGGCGAACCCCCACTTTGCTCCGGCCCTAGCCGGCCCCAGCCGGCCCCAGCTTGCCGATATCATACTCCACTTGGCCGGAATGGTTCCGGCCACTGACTCCGGTCACCGGTGATCAACATTGCTGCCTCGTGTTGGTTCCATCCCAACACTGCCCTAATCGCTTGTTGAACCAACCTGACAACAAGGTTCATCGGGGTATCTATCTATAAGGTTGCCCTCTGTTTATCCGGTGTATCTTACAAACGTTGTACAATTTTGTTGTAGCCTTCGTCATGCGTTTCCCTGTCAAGCTTGTAGCTGTACTTGCAGCAGCTTGTTCCCTCGAGCCTTTGTGTCTAATAATTCAGCATTTGAATCTGCCAGCCAAAGCAACTCAAACAAACGACGATGGTGCTGCTCCAACTCTCCCGATCCAGCACTCCTAACCATGATCCCTAGCTTCCGGGACGCCAAAATAAAATCCTTCTCTCCCTCTACTTCGCCCTCGGCGTCGCTCATATACTTGAGCATCAAATGCGTGTAAGCGAAAACACTTGCATCAAAAATTGTCGGCGTCTCCGCTCCAAAGAACCACCCAGTTTTACTTTCCGAGAGCAATGTTGCCAAAGCCTCCAACGCCTTGACAGCCGCTCTGTACACAGAGTGTTCATCTACTAGTAGAGATAACGCCGTAGAAGCAGCTCCACCGGGTCCGGTCTTTCGGATCTCGGTCTCTGCTGCTCGACGCAGTTGGTGCCTGAGTGCGCCGCGCACCCAGTAAGAGGAGGAGGCTGGCGTGATGTAGAACCTGTCTAGCAGATCTATGTATTGAGGGTCGCGATAGAGAGCCTGTAGCCAGGCATTTCGGATAGGGACATCGAGGAGGGCTTGGTAGGCGTCGAGCCTCAAAGCTGACACCTCTGGAGGGTTGGAGGTACCGTACTTGAGGGCGTAATCGTGGAGTTTGGAAGATGGAATTGGCGACGGGACATCGGTAGGGGACGATCTTGCAGGAAGGATAAACGGGAGTGCGCCGGTAGGTGAGGCATGGTTTGTCGAGGGCAAGATTTGGAACTTGACGCCGGCAAGCTTGAGGAAGGCCTATTTGATGTCAAAGAAAAGAGTTAAAAATATCGCCGCTTGGCCATCCGTGAGAAATCTTGAAAGAGCACGTACCTGCCACTTCAGACAGCTAGGGTTGAAGCTCGGTGCCCCTAGTAGCGCTTCCTCCTCGGTTGAAAAGACATAAAGTGTAGGAAGGTCGCCAGAAGTGGCTGACTGTGCTCGAGCAGGGAGGGCGTTGACGTCGTAGGCGAGAAGAGGAAATGTATCAAAGACCTTCTGGAGCGGGCGAGGGACCTGCCACCACTTTCGAGGTGGTGCGGCGGTGGAGGTGGTCGCCATGGTCGGTTGCGAATCGACCTGGTACGATCGATGTGGTAGGATTGCGATGCGACAACTGAAGCGATGACGCTTCCTGGCTTTCGACAGTGAGGGCGAGCGGGGTGTAGAATGTCGTCACGTTGAGGACTTCGAGCGGATGGAGCGGTAAATTGCTTGATTGGTTAGTATCCCAAGTTCCAGACATGAAGCGGATAATGACATGTGGATGTTCCTATATTCCGTCTCGATGCCGGAGCTCGAAAACTTGGCTACGCGGTGCCCGACATGGTGGACCTTTTCGGTTCCCTCTTCCGTGTCTCCATAACGCGGCCGGCTAGACTACAGTGGAGGACCGGGCGCGCGGGTGGCGAGTGGATAGGGTCGGGGCATATTGAAGGTGGGTCACTGGGCCGGCCTCGCCTCGGCGTGCAAATCACCAACTGCATTTCACCGAACCGACGCCGCACAAATACCGCCGGTGAGCCAACCCACAACTCATCCACAGCATGTACATAGTGTACATAGAAGCCAACATGGCCCAAGCTTTTGTGCTTCTTCCTCTCCACACTACCGTCGCGTACCTGCAGCGACCGGAACTTTGTGCTTCCATATCTTTTCATCACACCGCTCCCTCATCTTCAACCGCCCTGCCGCCATTGACACATCTGACTTGGTGCAGCGAATATCAATGTCTAGATTTGAAGTCGAAGATGGAAGCACCTAAGAAATGAAACGCAGTCACCTCAAAACGCCATTCAAGCTCTTCATTTGGCTGGGCATCCCACCGAGTCTACCGCTCTCTCATCGCCATCTGTCTCTCTCATTGCTGATTAGCGCCCCCGAAGCGACGGCTCTTGAAGCCAAACTTTCCGCAAGTTGTCTCGCGCCAAACGTGGCAGGTTTTCCACTGGCCTACGCAGTGGAGAGACCGGGATATTCTGCCGCGTTATGTGACAATATCCGATGGAAGGCCCGGTCTTCGGATTTTGCGGCTTAAGTCTTCCACGCATACATGCAGCTTGCCCATGTAGGAATGGCAGCATTGTGGTTCCACCGTCGTTCGACCCTTAAAAGCTGTCAGGCCTTTGCTCTCTTGGTGACACTGCACAAGTGCTACCATCGCTACCTCAACGTACTACGATACCAAAACAGCCGAAACACTGCTGAAAATTAAGGCTTGGGAGCGTACCCATGAACTCAAGCAAGAACAGTTAAACCCCGTGTCTGGGGTCCTGGCCCGGAGCCGCGGATACGCATGTCGTCGCAGTTGGGCGGACAAAGAGGGCCAAGATGCAGCCCTGCCCCTAGCCAAAGATTCAGGGTGCCCCCACAGACTCCCACCCTTCACTTGCTCCGCTATGCCCGGCTGGGGTTACAGTTGACTGGGGCGTGCCCGGAAGATAGCGATGAGACGCTGCCGGAAGAGAGAAACCTAGCTTCAGGTGTGCCAACTCCCGAAGCAGTGCCGTCTCAGCATAGCCGAGAGGTAGGGAACAGGTACCGAAGGCTGCGATTGATGGACGTTATATGAGAAGAAAACTCGCATGTGTCGCACGGCAAAAGAAATAGCCGCTGAAGTACTGGTGAACACAGTATCTGGCTCCTAGGAATCTGTTTCACTGCGGACTGGCCCTGACAGAGTTACTACCTACTTACAGTAGAGAGCACTGAAACATGGGGAAATAGGCACCAAGCAAACGAACGGCGCGACTCATATCTCATCAACAACCCATCTCGGGGTTTGTCGATCTATTGAGATCTATCACACCTGAAGATATTTCTGGACGGACTACCTTCGCCCTGGGTCAGCACGCACATCGCCATTCGCTGTGATTGCGCGCTGCACTTCATTTCATATCCAGGGGGGTCACGAGTTGTGAGTGTCCCTTCAGATTACCGAACCCTATTAATAAATCAAGGTTTAAAATTCGGCTTTCAACTGAACCCTTACTCAAGAGTTGGCCCCGTCGTCTGCAACAAGAGTAAATATTCTTCAGAGACTCCACGGCAAGGTAGACATATGCAATCAGGCCAAGACAGTGTTTAAAAGTTAGTGCTTGTCGCCAATAGCGAAGCCCACGTATGAACCGTTCGCTTGTACCTATCAAGAAGTATTCCTTTCGGTGTTGGAGAATGAGAGAGGCAGATGACAACCATAAACAATGTGGGGGACGGGAACACATCCGGGCCTCGACGGACGGGTGGACATTGTGATATGGGGCATCTGGAGGTGGGTCCAACGTCCCCCGCTCTGTCTGCAATCCCCAGACAAGCACTTCCACCAGGCTACAGAGTACTTGTGCGGTACAGGCTTCGGCTTTTGCGGAAAGCATCAAATGACGAGGAAATGAGGGCAAATGACAACGCAAATGCGACATTCCGGCTGTTCTACGGAGGTACCTTGTCCGTACCTTTTGCAGGCCAATCTGCTGGCTTGGCAAGGTTAATCGAAAGACGTAAGCCCCATTGTTGATCCTCCATCACCTATGACGCCCTCAGCGTCCGCAACAATGAGTGTCATCGCGGTCAACGCGGTCAACGCGGTCATCCGTTACGCCAGGCAATGTACCTACGCATACCTCCATTCTGAGGTTCCGGGAAGATGTCAGTCGGCGTTGCGGAAGAAGGAAGATGAGGATGTTGGTTAATGAAGCAACTGAGATCTAATGACTGGAGGGGGATGATTTGTTCACGTCTACCTGATGCTACAAAGGATGGGATTGCGAATGTAATAGATTCCACCGTCATCCACTCCCAAATCGTCCCGAGTCTCATCACCTTCTATCCGCTATCGATCCTACACACCCACCGCATCCTTACTAGCTAACCTCCACACACCTCGATATCTCATCGATCGATCCTGTCACTATCGGACACCGCCGGCACTGCAGTTTACCACATCAAGGGACATCGGACAAAAAGAAGACGCATCTGGGGTTGCTCTGCATCTTGCAGCCCAGATTAGCACATATCGGTTACCGTATTAGCCTGTTCACTGTCCTCTTCTCCCTCGTGCGCTCTGTCCTCCTTTGATCATCGTTGCCCGGTTGTACTGCGTACACTGTATCTCAATCAGATACTGTTTGCTTGCTTGCTTGCAAGTTGCATCACCAAACCAGAGTTCCATTCCTGGAAAATTGGAGAAGAACGAGCTAAGGATTGAGGGATTCAAGAACCACAAGAAATCATCGTTATACTACATCATTCTTGGCGTTGGCTCAGTCGTGAAAGAAGCATCCGCCCCCGGCCTTCCTTTTTTTTTTTTTTTTTTTTTTTTTTTTTTCTTCCTGCTGTCGGTCTCGGTCGATCCACTCTAGAGGATCCCGTCAAAATCCCACACCCTACCTAACCAACCCTGGACGGAATTCGGAGAGCGAGAAATTCTCTTATTAGCGAGCTTTTTCCGCGAACAGAACATACATCATATTCTTTTATATACCTCTCTCTCCAACCTCTCCTCTCAATTCTCAACCTCGTTCTTCCCTTTCCACTGCAGTCGCGACCAAACCTTTTGTGACTATACACACCTCACTCACCTGTTATCCGACTCCAGAGGCAACCCGTCGACCACACCAGAGCACTTACCAAGTACCTCATCAACAACACTTACGCTTTTTTTTTTTTTTTTCTTTTGAGAGAGTTGCGCGTTTGACACCCGGCAACCGCTCACTTTGAAAGCAAAGACACCCGTCGCACCCAAGACGCACATTCTCAGCAACCACTATGGACGCCTCCAACTCCACCCCCACAACTCAGCAGACCTCCTCCATGGCTTCCATTCAACGGTCCCCCGTAGCCACCAAGATCATGCCGCCTCAACCTGCTCCCGCCAAGACCGGAAACTCGACGGATGCCTTCCTTAAGGACTTCACACTGGTCGCCGAGGCCGCAAAGCGTGCCCAAATGGCCGTGATGATGCGTGACTTTGAGGATATCGGTCTCTCATAAATTCTTCATTTTGTGCGCATTGCAAGAAGGCGCTTGTTCTGAAAAGGATGAGGCATCGAACGGTACTCGCGGTTTTTCTCCACTTAGGGCAACAACTGAACCTCTGAACCTCTGGGCTGAATATGGAGTTGGTTTGCAACACCGTTGGCGCTTTTTCTCCACAGTCACAGAGAGTATGAAGAGGGCCTGACAAACACTATTCCGTGATCGAAGGAATACAAGCGATCCACCTGTTCAGTCATTGCGGAAAAATACTTTTCCACATCCAAGGTCTCACCACAAAAACGCCAAAAAGGGGAACTATTGCAAGTCAAATCACGAGAAAACCTCTGGGTATCCAGAAGAGGCTTGTCTGCAAACAGATTCACTCAGGAAGCACCGAGCACGCCACATAGCCGACCACGACTTTGTGACTTAGGAATCAGCACTCTGCTATGGCCAAAAGTGAACCAAGAGCGCAAGAAAACGGACAGCGTGCTGGAATCTTTGACTCTGCCACCACTCCTCTCCTCTACACAACAGGAACAAGAAGAAGGAGAGGCTTCGCAGGGAGTTCTTTACACATTGTCTTTCCTTACATCAATATCGTCAGGGCGTTACTGGGGCATTTTATATTCGAATTTTTGCTATTTGGGACACAGGAGCATCGCGGAGTACAACGGGCACGGATACGGAGAAGCATACAAGCACATACAAATACCTTATACACAAGAGATGGACGGCGCCGAAGTTCTGGGGCGGGCGTGTGCTGATTTTTCCACAACGGACGGCGGGGTGACTAGGTATCTCGCAGGGAGTGAGAAGGAGTTTTGTTACCATAAGCATTATCGGCTGGATATATTCTGTTTGCAATTTCCACGCTTCTGTCTGCTCTTTTACCAACACAACCAACTCAAATGTATCTATTCCGTGGTTAGAGATCAGTCGAGATAATCATCTGTCTATTGGGATATGGTTAGGTAATATCATCAAGCGAGAATAACTGGATTATCAAACATCATTAATCACTGAAATCTGCGACAATTTCGAACCCATACGTGCATAATAACGATCGTTATTACTAACATTCTAGGACCTCGATTAACCCCAGTCAACACGCGTCGGTCCAAGCCAACCCTAACCTTGAGTTCTCAAATCTTCGACACCAGTGCCACCCCTCCATCTAGCGTCACCGTCGCCCCATTCACAAACGCCCCCGCCCTACTCGCCAAAAACAGACATGCGCCCGCCGCGTCCTCCGGCGTTCCAATCCTCCCCAGGGGATTCGCGGCCTTGATGTCCTCCCCAAAGTCCCTCAGCGTCGCCGCCATCATCTTACTCGGAAACGGCCCACACGCCAGCGTATTGCTCGTGATCCCCCTCGGCCCCAGCTCCACCGCCATGTGTCTGCTCAAGTGATGCAGTCCAGCCTTGCTGGCGCTGTAAGCGTAGGTGGGAAGCAGCGGGACTCTGATGCCGTCGATGCTGCCAATGTGGATGACGCGCGCTGGGTCAATCACCACGCCGTCGCTTCCTTCCGACGTCTTCTTTGCCGCTTTTTCCAAAAGGGGAGTCAAAGCCTGCGTCAGCGTAAAAACTCTATGCAGGTTCAGCGTCAGCAGCTTCGTCCACGCGTTATCCGGGTACTCGTCGTAAGCAGCGCCCCAGGTGGCGCCCGAGTTGTTGATCAGCACGTGCAGCTTTTGCTCGCGCTCGGAGAGTTCGTGGGCGACACGGGTGCATTCCTCCGCGGAAGAGAGGTCGGCGGGAAGGGCGACGGCGGAACCGCCTGAGGAGGTCTTGGAGGCCAAAGCGTTGAGCTCGGAGGCGGCGGTCTCGCAGGCGGCGGCGTCGCGAGAGGATATGTACACTTTGGCGCCGTTGCGGACGAAACCTTCGGAGATCATGCGGCCGATGCCTTTGGCGCCGCCGGTAATGAGGACAACTTTGCCCTGTTGGTATCGAAGAGTGGGACGTGTTAGCATTTCTGAGGGGGGTTCGTGCGTTGAGGACGGAGGGGGTTTACGCATTGTACATATGATGGGCGTTGTATGGCATGACGTAGACAGACAGACGTACCTTGATGCCGAAGAGAGTGTTGACATCCATGATGATTGCTCCTTTGCCGACTTGTAATTTCGTCGTCAGAATTGGTGGGTTCAGTGCAAACAATTCAAAGCTCATATCTCATCCAGGAGGATGGGAATAGTGTAACAGATTCCCCAAAACCATCCTCCTCCTACCAGCCAAACGATTTCCGGTGCTGTTCACCAAGACGGGAGGGTTCTAACAACAAGCCGAGGCTCGTTGGCGTGGGATGGTACCACCTACCTAGAGGTACCTCTAGACCAATCAACGGGATTATCTTATCGACAGTTATCACCGATAACCGAAAGTTCCTTTCGCGGGAACATCCATTCCAGCAAGGTGGAGGTCAACCACGGTTTGCAGTGAAGGGTTACACGGTAAGGACGGTCAACCCCAAGGAGGTCAAGATGAGAGTGCCTCTGGCCAAGCAATCAACATTCCCAAAAGCCTACCTCATCATGACAGCCAGGGGAGATCACAAAGCGATGAAGCATATGCGTCATGTGACTGCTGGGATCTTGATACTTTATTGATTACGCAATGGTTTGGGGCATGAAAGCAAGTACACTCAGCTGTTCTGCATTCATTGATGGACACTCTGCCCACTTCTTGTCATTGAACGTGAGGCATCGCAAGAACCTACCTATTTGAAATTATTCCCTGATACCTGCAGTTTATGTGATCTCCAGCACAACAAACAGACGCGTCATCTAGCACATCATGGCAAGCGATCCCCAGCCCCCACTGAACAAATCAAGCGCCGACGACCACGCCATCCAAAGCCAATTCCATCGCCTCCGCTCGCTCTTCAAAAACTCAGAATACTCCACACACCCTCAACACTGGGACACACTATGGAAGGAATCCTTCACCCCCTGGGACCGTGGCGGGCCCAGCCAAGCCCTCGACGAAGTCCTGTCCCTCCACCGCGAGCTCTTTCCCAGTGCCCCAAGCAGTGCTCATGATTGGGACAAGCCAAAACCCAAAGCTTTAGTGGCCGGTTGTGGGAGAGGCCACGACGTGTTACTCCTGTCTGCACATGGGTATGACGTCTACGGACTTGACTCATCCGTGACAAGCATAGAGGAGGCCATGAAGAACGAGAAACGGGTGGCGGAAGAGGATGCAGAGGGCAAGTGGAAGGAGGTGTATGCACCGAGGAGGGAGCTAGGCGTTACGACAAAGGGCAGGGTGATGTGGGTGACGGGAGACTTTTTCGAGGACGACTGGGTGAATGATTCGGGATATGGAAAGGTGAAGACTGGGTTTGATCTCATTTTTGACTATACGGTAAGTGTTCCGTCTCCTTGGATGGTGTCCTGGCCTGATTGAAGTGATAGAGTCGAGAAACACTAACTCAAGACTCATTGCCAGTTCTTTTGCGCCCTTCCGCCTGAAGCACGCCCAGAATGGGCCAAGAGATTGTCCGATCTTCTCAACCCCGACGGCGGAAGACTAGTCTGCCTCGAGTGGCCACTTGACAAGGACCCCATGACTGGCGGCCCGCCTTGGGGTGTTTCGGGCGACCTGTATCTTGCCCATCTTGGGCATCCGGGCCAGTTGTTGCCATATGACGACAAGGGACAGGTAGTGGACGGAAGCGGGGATACAACACCGGTTGCTCTCAAACGGCTGGCACGTACACAGCCCGCATGCACACACAAGGCTGGGTACGACAACCAAGGAAACGTGGTTGACCGTGTTTCGGTCTGGAGCCACCAGTAAGGGTGGTCAGGGGAAACCTTTTCGGTTACAGTTACTTTGTGTGTGCGAAAGAGCAACCTAGCAACAGGGAGAGTGGCACTTTTATCGTTTGCTTGATAACTCGCCTTTTGGCAAATCATGGTCTCAAACAGCTGCTTTGCGTAGCGAGTTGAAGTGTTCTCCAAGGCCATATCCATGACGATAGTACGCCAACCACAGGACCTTCAGCTCCTCCTTGTCCCCGTTGCTCTCCCCATTTGCGACAGCGTTGGGTTGTATCACCTCCGTCCGACCGTCCTGCACCACCCTGATCTCCACGTTATACGCGTTTGCCAGCGCCGTCAGCTCCAGCTGTCCACCCCACTCTGCTGTGTCTCGTATCTTGGCCACGTAGGTCTCGAAGGGCTCCTCGAGAAAAGGCGCAAAATCGTCCGTGTGTTTCTCCATGTAGTCAACCGCCACATGACGCACGATCCTATAAGGCGGCAGCTTCTCTTGTGTTTGCGCTCCCTTGTTCGCGGACAAGGCCCCATCTACTGGAAGCCCGTGGACAGCAAGCTGATCTGCCACTGCGGAGAAGAGGCAATGCCCATCGGGTTCGATGTCCTTCTCTTCCAAAGAATGCGCCTTGAATTCGCGCAACATATATGCCTTTTCGATACCGCGATGGTCCACCATGCTCGAGGCCTCTTTCTCGGCTGCTGCCGAAGCAGCTTCTATTTCCGCTTGGCGACGGGCGAGACGCTCCTTCTGGCGGTTTCGTTTCTTTCCTCCGCCGCTGGAGGACTGCTCTACCGGAGGAGGGGGACTTGTTTTACTCGACTGTTCGGAGACGGTGGTCTTCTGTAGCTTCTCAGTCACATCGTTGACTGTTGGTTCTTCGGCGTCTTGCTCTTCCTCAAGCTCCTGGGCCTGCTCGCCGTTGTCGTCATTGTCGTCACCTCCTTGCAGCTTCCTGAGCTCCTCCTCTTGTCTCGCTTTCAGTTCGAGCTCCAATTGGGCGCATTCATCATTGACGCCCTTGCGTGTCTTCTTGGTCGCGTTCTTCTTCTTGTTTGTGATGCGTGACACAAGGTCTCTTTGCTCCTTGCGATGCCGAGCTTGCATTTGTTCGAGGGTTTCGGACTCCATGTTTGCTTGCTCTTGTAGGACCTATTAAACTTAAAAGAACAATGACAATTCCAGGCGAGTTGAAGGTAGCCCGAGAGGAGACTCGAATGACTCGTGCAGTTAGCCGTAGTTTTGAATGTGTTGTGGTTGCGAAGAGTGAAGGGAGGGCGAGGAAGCAATCTCGACAAACATTCGACGTGGAAGCCGTACGCGACATAATGGGCCAGTGGCGGGGCAGTTCACAGTACAGCTTTAACCCTAACCCCGCTAACTGCACCAAGAGGGGTAGCACGCTGTGGGGTAATCCAGGCACCGACCGACCGATCTGTACAGAGTACGGATTGCGAGAATGTTCGATGGAAGCACAACCAGCCTCATAAAGAAATATTAGACAAACCGTTCTCAAGTCAGACCACTGCGCCGTTGGTATAGTGGTTAGCATACTCGCTTCCCAAGATATCCTCTACTTAGCGAGTGACCCGAGTTCGAATCTCGGACGGCGCACATCTTTTTCCCTTTTTCTCGTTCCATATCCAGTCTTGGTGGAAGCTCCAGAGGTGTTTAGGGGGGATTTCTTTTTTTTTTTTCCCCTCAACTTCTTTCTTTGTGCAAATCAAAGGATTACTGTACCAAATGAGCTTCGTCCAGCCAAAGCTACGAAACGGGTAGCTTTATCACTATGTCGTACTCTCAATCAACGAACAACTGGCCGAAAAGACATTCGTCGACACGGTCAAGTATTATAGGTGCTTATGGTACACATTTGATCGCCTATACTCTGGTTTTCTGGATCGTCATTAAAGCTTCCATCCAATTGCAAGGTTCCTCCATGTTATTCAATTCAATTCCCAGACAGATAAGATTGGACACACGTGCAATGACTCCTTGTCCGTGCAAGTAGAACGGTCCTCTTCATCGACGGCCTTCATTGGCAGTCATGCACGCAAAACGCCTTTCCCGTCTTGCCTGTTTCCACTCACCCAAACAGACGTTGAGATGTTATTTGCCCTGCTGTCTCTTGTTTATTACCGCTCATGTGGGTTCTCGTTAATTGCCTTGGTCGAATTGCGGATTGGTGGGTACAAGAAGGTTGATCATCTTGATATTGCTGTACTATGTACGCATACATGCATGGCTTCGCTGTCGTTGTGAGGAAAATGAGGAGGTGATCATATGTCTTTGAAATTGCGAGGTACGAACATTGCTGGCTCTTGGCGGAGTAGCAAACATATCAGGACTATAAACACCTCGATGCCTGCGGGCAAACTGCCCATATATGCATGGCAGCTGGGCCAGTGTAAGAGATCAAGGCTGAACTCATTTGCTCTAATTCTCATATCCGAGTGCCTTTCAACCAACGAACAAGAAGAATGACATCTCCCTCCACAACAAATACTTGCCAGAAATCTTGCCTACATGCATGGTCCATCAAAGGATGAAACATGGCTGACGTACATAGGCGCACTCACATGCTGCATACATAGTGTACACCTATAGAAACAACAAAGAGGCGCGTACTGCATTCCCATCGCATGGTGATGCTGCAGTGCAGTGGAAAAGATGATGGGTTTTGGTGTGAAGAAGAACGGAGGAACTCTCGGAAAACGTGGGGCAAGAACAGACGAGGGGTGTGCGATGGGTGGTCAAACGAGAGCAGGGATTGGCCAGTCAGACATTCACATGAAACCCCACCCGCTGGTATGCAACCCGCGTCATTCGTCCATTTCATCTGAAGCGTGTTTCACACTTTTCTGGAGCCTAGCGGGTGATGGGCTTCTGCAAATCAGATCGATTGGAGTTGCATTGGAGTTGCCAAACGACAACATTCTCGCGAATTTTCATAATTTTTTTCAATCAACCTCGAACCGTGACCCCTTTCTAGTGTACCTGGAGCGCTTGCTGGTACGACTAGGCAGAACTCCACTTGTACACAGTACAGTATTACGCCCCGGGCAAGACCCCGCTCTGTCCTTATTTATCCTTTCTTTTTCTTTTCTTTTCTCTCATCCATTCCAACACGTGCTCTCGTACAGTTCAAGGCTTAGACGTGGTTAACGCGAGACTTCCATACAATGTCTTCGAAACAAGGGAGAGAATAGGGAATTTCGACCCTCCTATTGATCCAAACCACGCCAAAGAGGGTAAGAACAACGACTGATCGTATCCCACCAGGTGTCCCACACACATTACATGCACTAAGACCTGACTCCATCTACAGTGGGCAATAACGAACCAGATGCTGTTGGAGCCGGGAATGCCATCAAACCAGCCTGAAAGTGGTAGAAGAGCCCTCTGTAAGTACCAAGCTAACGGAGTTTCCAGGGGTGATGTGTACGATCCCGTCGTCCCCAGTGGTTTAGTTCGGTGATCATCAGCGTTTGTCAGTCAATCTTGTGACCGCCTTCTCGCTCACCGGGCAACCGTCGGTCAATTGCACATCAGTTCCCCCTTATCGATCGTAATCACGGCGGCCCACCCGGCATCAAGGAAGCGTGCCGTACATCCATCGTCGGTGCCAGCGCGGTTGTAAGAATGGGATATGCGCCTCAGGATAGGGAAAATCCCTGGGAGGATTTTTCGGTACCTGGAGGGGTGCATTGGCGGGTGGCAAGTTGGGCGGGAATAGCACAGTACAGGTTGACTAAAGCGCCGTGCAGCGGCGTACCTACATTATGTAAGGTTAGATGCGCAATGTGTTACACACAATCAAGAGCTGGTCGGCACGGCACTACCCACTACCTCCCTCTGTGTAAACATATTCGGTGTTACCTCGACGCAATGCTCTCGCCCTCCCAAGTGGACAAGACGAAGCGGCTGTCGCGATTGTGATTGATTCAGGGGCACACCAGCATGACCACCAGCGCATTTCGGGTCTATCATTAGCGGATGCCCATCAAGCTTGCACACCTACGTATTGACAGACTGACAACGACCTGGGGGGAGGTGGAAAAGTGGGAGATTTGCACGAATTATTATGCTGCGGAGTCGGCGGTGGAGGCTTTGGACAAGCGCAGGATTCATCCGAGGACGGGCAACGGCTGCCGGCCCAGGCTTCTTCAGTTTTTTTCGAGGATCCCCGTTCTAGAAGAAAATACTAGTGGTGCATTCTCAGGACCTGCAGCAGCGAACCATCGAATGTATCCTGTTTCTTCTGAAATGTCCCACGATGCCCTCGTGAATGGACGTTTCGGACCCGACTGGAGTCTACCTCAGAGATTTTCTTGGCCCGGGCTCCCGTCGCTGCCCCTGGCACGTGCCTGAGCGCCATGGCCGCTTTTCCTGCTTTTCTTTCGCTGCCCAAACAAGATAGCGAGAGTGATTTACATTTGTGAAAATTGGGAGCAAATTCTCACACTCCACCGTGGGCTCCAAACAGGAGGTCGCTCTAATCCTTGGCCGCGTATGTCGGCTCCTCTTATAGCCCTTTTATTTTCCCGTGCCCAGCATTTTATCAAGGATGTACACTGGCGGCGACTCCTCAAGGAGACAAGGGTTTGGAATGCGTGGGCCAATGGACGCTCTCAAAGCGATGGCTGATCGCCTGGTTCGGGAAAGAGTGCGATGCGGCGAGAGCAAGGGCAGGTTCGAAGGGGGTCACCCAAATGTACCACTCAGACGAGCCGATACAACCAGGAGTACGACCCTGGGACGGTGCAAATACGATGCGTACCTGCAGCACCTAACATAGGTAGTGGTCAATGGCAGACCCATGCATGCTCTGAGGAGAGTCTGGTTAGGGTTCTGAGCGTGACTTTCACCCCTTCCTTTCCTTCCAGTCGGGTACGCCGCAGGTACCCTAGGTGTAATCTGCGGGTCCGGCTTCTTGGGTTCCTCTTGCTCTCCATTGTCGTGGCCCCCAGGCAACCTCCATGGAAGGCCCCCCGAGCCCCCGGGCGCCTCCCTACCCGCAGGAACTTGAACTGTGAGGCGGGTTTCTGCCCGCTGCAGAGCGGAAAATGAATATCTTTCGCTGGGTGTCTCGCCTTCCTCATTAGTGCTCCCTCTTCCCCTCCTTCCCCGTAGTCCATCTCCCTCGTCACTCCCTTATCCCGTCCTCATTCCATCCATATCTGGTGGTCTGAACCTGTTGAACTCTCTTGGCCGACTCGTTCGACACTTCACTCACTACCACCACTCGCTTTCTGTACCACAGTCACTCATTCATCAATCAACATCTCCATCTTCGGCATCTCTCCGGTGTCCATCCGTATTTCGACAAAAGACAAACAATCTCGATAACGGACTGCGACTCGTCGTGCTGGTCATATCTGGTGGATCGATCTTTGTCAAGACTGCAATTCTCCGGCTCGCCCACTCGATCTCATCCCATATCGATAAATCCGACAAGCGAATACGGTTTTTGGCAACACAACCTTGGTGCGACCATTGTTCGTTTGGTTCAAGAGCTTGGACGATTGTTATTCGAGCATTTATTCTGCATCCTCGCCGTTGTCTTGAAAGTCTTTCCCCAAAGACATCTTGCAAGAGCCACACGCCGGACAGCTGGATAACACCTGTTGTCCTTGGATATTGGTAAGCATATCCTTATGGACGGCCAAGCTTTGGAGCTTGTTCGCGTTTCTTTCTGCATGCCTTGCGGGCGGATTTGTTTCTCTAACATCTCGCTCGCTCTCAGATTCCCATCACTCTTTGAAATCTCAAAATGAAGGTTTCTGTAGCCATCCTCGCCGCTGCAGGCGGTGCGGATGCCTTCTGGCGCATGGAGTGCCGCGGCAGATTGGGTGTCGCTCGCCTCGACCCTCTGGTTAACTACGGTGAACCCGGATCCCATGCCCACTCGATTCACGGTTCTTCTGGTATGTCCATGTGTCCGGAGGCGCGCTAGGAAAGGATGGATTTGCTAAAACTTAATCAACAGGTTTCAGCGACAAGTCTTCCTACGATGACCTACTCAAGGGTGATTGCACTTCTTGCGCTGTCACCCAAGATATGTCTGCGTACTGGACTCCTTCTCTCTACTTCCAGCATGCCGACGGCTCCTTTGAGCTCGTCCCGCAAGTTGGTGGTATGCTGTCATACTACTTCCTTACTACGGATGCTGCCAACCCCGACAGCGGCATCAAGGCGTTCCCTCCCGGATTCCGCATGATTGCCGGAGACACTAACCGCCGTAACTATACGATTTCTGGTACCAGCGTCAAGGATGCCGACCCCCAGAAGTCCGAATGGGCCAGCCTTGGACAGACTTCGCAGCTCGATCTGGCTCAGCGTGCCACCGGATTCAACTGCCTCAACTACAACAAGCAACCTGAGGGCACGTTGTACCGTCACTACATGCCCGACAAGGACTACCTCGATGCCAACTGCGCCGACGGCATTCGCGCCGAAATCATGTTCCCTTCTTGCTGGAACGGCAAGGATCTCGATTCTGATAACCACAGGGACCACCTGGCATACCCCGATCTTGTTATGAACGGCAACTGCCCCAAGGGCTTCGAGACCAAGGTCCCTAGTCTCATGTACGAGACCATCTGGGCTACCCAAAACTTCATTGGACAACCTGGCCAGTTCGTCTTTGCCAACGGTGATGTTCAGGGCTTCGGTTACCATGCCGACTTCATGAACGGCTGGGACGAGGACTTCCTCCAGCAAGCCGTTAACACCTGCACCAACCTCAGCGGCAGGATCCAGGACTGCCCCATCTTCAATATCCAGAGCGAGGCTGAGCAGAACCAGTGCACCTTTGACAAGAACCCCGAGGTCTCCCAGATGCTCAAGAGCTCTCTCAACGAGAAGACTACCGGAGTGATTGGCGACTCCCTTCCCGGCGGTGTCAAGATTGCTTACGGACCTGAGCCCGCCGATGCGGCCAGTGCTGGATCGCATACCACCACTGTCGAAGTCCCAACTGCTACTTACTCCCAGGGTGCCACTGTCACCGACGGAAACTACATGCCCGGTGGTGTCTTCAAGGCTGCTAAGTTCGGCGTCCCCGCTGCCGAAAGCGCTGTCAACTCCATCAGCACCACCACCGAAGCTTTGCCCACTATTACTGAGGCGCCTACCGTCGCCGCGGAGGACGATGGCTTCACCGCCATCAGGACCGAGTACATTACCAAGGGCAATGTTGTCAGCATGGTTATTGTCAAGGAGGCTCTCGAGTACGTGACTGTCACGACCACTACTGTTACGGCCGTCCAGACCGTTCAGGCCCGCCAGTACTCTCACCTGCACCGCCACAAGGTCCGCGCTGCGAACAACCGGGCCTAAGTCATATGCTACATGACTGCTTCCGGTATCTGAATTTCACTTCTACAGGCTTTGTCCCCTTCTGGGGACATTAGCTTTAGGCCACATTAGTGAAGAGGGATCTTTATGGCCATTTTTTCTTGTTTATGCTTTGTTATATCCCTAATGGAATCTTGTCTGGTGGATTGGACTTTGCATTTCAAAAGGTCATTATCCGATTTATGCGGGCGAGGAGGAGGCGGTATGAGAAGGCCAGTGGATTTAAAGAGATACTCAGAAGGTAGAATGAAAGTTGATACTGCAAAGCCTTTTCCCTGTGCTTTGGCATCTTTGTTGTGGTGACGGGTAGGTGTTCAGTACCCCCTTGTCATCACGTATATGGTCCTTAATTTCTTCATCAGCATGGGCGGGCGTTCTACGGTAATACATCTCGCTATATATCATTTCATAGGGCTAGGTGGATAGGTTGGTTTCTCTCCTGAGCGAACAATAGGAAAACACCATTAGGAATCAAGCAAACTGGTCAACCATAGGATGTGAAACTGCTTGATCGTCACTGTTTATGTTCTGCTTTTTGCGATGGTAATCTTGGTACAACATGCCTTGGTGCTTGCGTTGTCACGGTGATGGCGAGGGCTGGAATGCTGCTGTGTGGTTTCGGGACGTGGTGTCGTGGTGTTGCCGGGCGCAACGCATTCCATTCCATTCGCAGCAACAACGCTGCACTGGATCAACAACACTCCAATTTATCTCAACCGGTAGAAGCATGTTGACATTGCAACAACAAGAATCATGCTTCTTGCATTTCCTTGTTTATGTCGTTACTCTTTCCCTCAGACGCTTCGTTGTTGAAACCATCACCACGCTCTTTTCCCCTCACGATCTTTGCCAGATGAATTTCGGCGATTGATGAGCCGATTACAAAGAACGAGGTCATAGTACACACCGCAAGGAAACATTGGAGCGAGACCAAACATCGATTGCAATAGCGCGCTACGAATAGCAACAACCAGGGCGCAGAATGATCACTGTCGCCGACTGACTTGCCAAGTGTGTTTGCATCTGATTGTCACGAATCCCGCCCCAAGCAAGCATACGAAGGCAGAAACACGAAACAGCACGGCACGTAAAGCAAGAATAGCAACATATTCCCTGCAGAAACCGAGATACCGGGGGATCGAAATCGGAAACAAGCAAACTGCAGCATCACTGACCACCACAGCCCCGGGCACGATAAGCAAGAGATCAACATGAGCGCCGCCGCCGCAGGGGCTTCCCTCCCCTTCGGCGCCCTCGTCGCCATCGTCCTCCTCGGCACCTTCACCGTCTCCGCCACTCTCGCCTTCTTCGGCATCTGGCTATCGCGTCGTCGAAGGTTTGCAGTAGTAGCCGCGGGCCAGGGTCAGACAAACAAGGAAAGAAGCGGAGGATGTCATGTGTACGATTTGACTGGTGAGACGACTATTGCATCGACGGCGTTGACAGTTCATGTTGGGAATGGTCACGATGCCGTGGATGTTGGAGACTTCTCTCCGAAACGAAGCCCTAGAAAGTTGCAAAAACTTCCATCTGCGGCGTGGACGACGGCGTCGGCTTTGAAGTATAATAGTACTACTTCTTTGTTGCCCAAGGCGAAGGGAAAGGGGATATGGCAAGGGGAGGGTGCTGGTAATGGACTGAGAGGTCGAGCACATGAGATGGATGGAGAGGGAGAAGATGGGGTGCTGTCGGTTTCCATGCTACCTGGGATGTCGTGGATGGACTTGGGCGGAGCGCAAGAGCAAGGGTCACTGCTGCCATTCAGCAGGTTGCGAAAGACTTCTTCCGGCAGTCTTTTTCGCCTGCACAAGACAAAATTGCTGGGTGTGAGTAGAAAGAAAAGCAGTGCCAGTGAGAGGAGAATGGCAAACCCAGCGTGGATTGATGAAGAGGCGATTCATGGTCCGGAAATGAGCGGGCTGAGCAACATCACGCACGAAAACGGGACTAGTAATGATAGTGACAATAACAGCCACCGCAAGTCATTGCTGTTTGGTTGGCGAAAGGGGAAAGGTAGAGATTGGATCCGAGAATCGTGGCCGTTGAAGACGAGGGCGCCCACGGTTCCGAGGCTGGATGACTACCAGGAACTTCCTAGGAGTCAGAGGCTGAGCCAGAGCCAGAACCAAAGCCAGCTGAACGACCAAGCAGAGCAGCTGGAGACCGAGACGATGACAGGTCGTCTTGGAATTCCTTCTACTGATAGCGGTCGACGTGCTGTCAGGTCTGCCTATGGCGCAATGGAGGGAGGAGGAGGAGGAGGAGGAGGGTTATCGGTCTCTCTACTATTACCTGAGCCTCCGCAACCCGCGATAGTAAGAGGACAAGCCGGAACAGGAGGAGGGTTCGTTGTGCAACACAGACATACCAAGAGCGAGCCCCAGAGGATCTTGAGGGTCATGAACCCCAGCACTCCTACTAGCCTTGCTAGGCCTACTCCCATACCTACAACGCAGTCAACCTCGACGAAGAACAGACAGGTATCAACGGATTCGACACTTTCCGAGATCCTCAGATCCACGGAGAAGAGGCTGCAGGAAGCCAGCACTAGCGGAGTGTCGCGGCGAAACCGAGCGACAATACAAGTGGCATCTGGTCCCCATCGAGGACTGCCTCTGCACGTGGCTGAGAGACTCGAGGAAAGTCGCAGCCCTGGTCTTCGGCGAAGCGAGTCTCTCAAGGAAACTCGAGGGACTCGAGTAGAACATCAACTCCCTGTCATCAGTCCATCAAGCAGTGGTCTAGTGGCGCCACTGACCCTTGTGCCTAAGTCATCGGGACAGCAGCAGCAGCGGCCAGACTCGCGGGAATCATCGTCCTCGGAGCCAGATAGTCTCCTCGCCGAGCCTGCCTACTCGGAGATGCCGTCGGGACTGACGAGTCCAAGTCGGGTCTCAAGCATAGCCGGTGCTTCGAGCGTTGCCGAGACAGAGATTGAGATGCTCCTCTTGACCGTGGATGTGCCGTCGAACCGCAGTTCCATGACCTCGACAGCATCTCTTTCCACTATTCACAGCGTGGACGAATCATCTGAAGGGGGCGCAAGAGTTTCAGTAGGGACTAAGACGCCATCCCCAGACCGTGCTGCTATGGTGGCAGGCACCGGAAGACCCGCGGTAACCTTACAGATTTCCATGGCTGACAGTGAGCGGTTCGCCTTGCCTGCTCCATTGTCCGCTGTTGATGCGTCTGCGCCCTCTCTACCCTCTGGATCCTCTGCCCGGCCCTTCACGAGCTACGGGTGTCCTGTACCCAGACCTCTTTCAACAAGATCCCAGGGCGAAACCGAGAGCAACAGGAGATCGTTCGTACGGAAGTCCATCATAGCACAAGAACCAATTGGCCCTATGCCCTCAATGCCCACTAGGCTATTGCCTTGTCCAGGAGTACCTTCCGGCAAGAACTGTGTGATTGCCCAAACCAGCTGTGGCACATGGCACACCACAATGGCCGATCCCTTTCAGGTACCAGTCAGCCCAACTTCTATTCAAGCATCGACAGACTCTGCGAGTCCGACATCATCCTCGGGTTCCATGGCATCAAGGGAGACTCCCAGAGGGCTTCGCTCTCCACCCAACAAGAGCACCACATACAACAACACGCTGTTGAATTCGATAGTTCTCCCACCGCCAACACAACACAGATATGTTGATGCCAAGAACGTGGTGGCAGAGATCAAACCACCAGCCAGGTCAGGGATCGTTCAAACACCAGAGCGAGAGCGTCGCTGGCCCTTTATAAACGCACATACCGCTGCACACGACAATGATGCATGTCAGCCGCCCTCGCCAACACCGCGCTCGGGCTCGCGCTTGTCCCGGCAACTGTCACTACAACAACGCAAAGCTAGTGAATCATCGTCCATATACTCGCAAGACATTGCGGCCAACGAAGCCTTCAGCCCAGCACCAGTACCGACATTCACGATTCTCAGACCATCCAGTCCCACCCGGACATCCCTCCCGCCGTCGCCAACCACGGTAGGACTAGCAGCAGCGCAAGCTCTCAACGCCGCCAACTTCCAGAGGAACTCGATCCTCTTTGCGGGATCCCAGCAGCAGACCCCCTCTTGCCGCACTTCGCGTACGATCAAACCCAATAGAGCGTCGGTACTAGCAGCGCAGCGAGACCTCGACGACGAGGTTGGAGATGATGAGGGTAACAAAGGAAATACAGCAGCCATGACGCCAAAAGCCAGCCCCATAGCCTCCACCATTGCCCAGCTTCGACGCATGAACAGCGTCCTCAGCACCGCCTCCAGCGTAAGCAGCATTAATACCGACGTCCCTGACGGTGGCGGCAATGGCTATCCGAGCAGAAGGAATAGTAGAGTGGGAGTATCAGCCAGCCCGACGCAATCGGCACTGAGAGGCGGTGGATTCAACCCCAATCCGAGACGGGATAGCCATCAAAGTTATGGCCATCGGCGAAGTGGGAGCAGGAACTACTTGTTTGCGCTGAGCGGCGGTGCTGGAGCCGTACCGTCGACGCCAACAACACCGAAGGTCGTGAAAAGAACAAGCGGTAGCGGAGGCGGAAGTGGTGGTAGGGTGCGCCTGAATCCATCAGGGCAGGCGATAGGGCACTCACGGACCGGTTTGGAATCAGGATCAGGAATAGGAAGGATGGTGTCGATATCTCGATCTGGATCGCCCAAGAGGATAACGTTGACGCCGGGACACCACCGAAGCCTGGGAAGTGATTGCGGTGGTAGCAGCGTGATTGGGAGTTCTGGCCTAATTAACGCCAACATTTTGAAGAACAGGTTTCAGTTCGACGACCACGACGATGATGACAATAATAATAACAAAGGCAAAAGAGCCAGTAATGGTAATGGCATTACCAAGAAGCAGAACAGCAGTGACTTTCTGGTGGGCGCAAAGAACGATGAGGGCAAAGAAGAGGAGAGTAAGAGGAAGCTTCCCGTTAGATTTACGTTGCCAAATTCTTCCCCGGCCACTATTAGGTTGACGCCAAATTCTCCCCCGTCATCGCCGTCGCAGAGGTCGAAGCAGGTTCAGACGGGCATGGTGTACGTGACACCGAAGGGAAAACGTTGGAGACAAAGCAATGAGAGTCTGGGGCTTTATGACCGGGATGGCTTTTTGATCAATTCGCATGGTCAGCCTCCTCCTGGGGCAAGCTCGAGCTCGGTGCGCGCTTGACGGTAACGGGCAATTGAAGATAAGGGTGTGATGAATAAGGGCGTATTCGGGGGATAATTGTTGGTGTAATTGATGGCGGCGTTTCTTTCTTGTTTCTATTTGAGATGGCATTTTATTTGTGCTTGTTTGCCGAACAAAGTTGGCGCGTTTTCTCATTTGTATGGTATTTAAAATTTAGCCAAGCTTATGGCGAATACTTTGACCGATGGCAAATTGATTGAACCAAGACAAGAATTGAATGAGTACGGAGCTGTCACTGATTGAGTAATGATGGTTCAAGGTGAAGTTGCCAAAGGAGTGAGGTGATGTTAATGTAGAAGCCGTCCTTTCCCTTCTTCTGATGAGCTCCTTGCTCGGCCAGGCAGCTGTCAATTGCATACTGGACAGCCGCCACCAGCTGCAATTGGACAGTTCCCGCCAGCGGTTAGGCTTACACTGTCCACGGAGGTCGAGACCTGAAACAACCGCAGCTACTATAGCGCCAACCATTCACAACCTACCCTCAGGTTGAAGCTCTCCAACATATTCTTTCCATCAAGTCACTTAACTTTAATGATCGATAGTCATCATACAATTATCATCTTGCTTTCCCATAGCTCATCAAATTGCTAGATAAGCCACATCTCGTCGATTTCATCATTACTCACTCGGACCACAACGGCACGAACAACATTATAACCAATATCACCGCTACAAAATAACGATAATGCCCCCCCTCCCTCACCAACACGTCCCCCGTCTCATAACCTACTACCAAACCCACCACACTCCCTCCGGTGACCCCATCTCTGTCCTCCCTTTTCTTCAAAAACCCGGTATCAACCTCACCCACCTGATCCTAGCCGCCATCCACATCAACTCGGACCCGGAAGGCATCACCCTGAACGACCACCCGCCGTCACACGAGCGCTTCACGACATTATGGGCCGAGCTCCGCATCCTCCAAGCGTCAGGCATCAAAGTGCTCGGCATGCTCGGCGGCGCAGCCAAGGGTTCATTTGCGCGCCTTGATGTCCCGGATCCAGACTCTCCCGATAAGACGGCTTTGGAGCGTTTCGAGCGGTATTATCAGCCTCTTAAACGACTGATTAAAGAACGCGGCCTGGACGGCCTAGACCTAGACGTCGAAGAAGAGATGTCTTTGGCGGGAGTGATTCACCTAATCGACCGACTGCGTTCCGACTTCGGGCCGGATTTCCTTATCACCCTAGCGCCCGTAGCGGCCGCCATGTTGAACCCGCGGCACAACTTATCGGGGTTCGACTACGAGGCGCTCGAGGTGATGCGCGGCCAGGAAATAGCGTGGTACAACACGCAGTTCTACTGCGGGTGGGGGGACTGTAGTAATCCGGTCATGTACGAGATGATGGTGATGAAGGGATGGGCATCGGAAAAGATTGTTGTCGGGTTGATCACGAACCCAGAGAATGGAGGAGGGTGGGTGCCTTGGCCGGCGCTGGCGGGCGTCTTGCCGCTGCTGGTGGGCAGACATCCAAGGTTCGGCGGGGTGATGGGGTGGGAGTATTTCAACAGCTTACCTGGGTCAAGGGAGAGGCCGTGGGAGTGGGCACAGGTCATGACGGCGCTGTTGAGGGGGAGACAGGCGTCGGATGCTGGAGCGCAGTTGCTGGGTGCGTTGGGTGCTCCTTTGCATCTTGATGTTGCGCAGCAGCAGCACCAAGAACAACAACAACAACAACAACAACAACCACAACAACAAGCAAAGCAGTCTCAACCTGAACAAGAGAAGGAAGGAGGGGGGTATGGGCTAGTGGACAAGGACGAAGTGGACACACCCCTTGCGGTGCCCAACTCGTTTGATTACCACACTGATGCAGAAGATGAGGATGAGTAGACGTGAGACAGACTTACACTACCCTAGACCAAAGCGTTCCATTCCAACAACAACAACAATGCCAACGGGATCATGTGTGGAGGAAACTCTGTTTGATGGCAGCACGGGGTCTGCCGGTAAACGGCGTGTCAATCATATAGAAACCCGTCTTTCAGTAGCCAAGAGTCCCATACAACCCGGACATCAGACATGACTAATAACTTGCGATAACTGGCCGAACCGGTGAACAGGAAATATGTTTATGAAAGCGAGTCAGATGAGAGGGGGCAAGGGTTCATCCTATCTCGGATTCACGAGGGCTTATTAATGCTCTCTCGACACAACAGGTCAACTCTGCACCGTGCAGAATTTTTGCGAGAGCAGCCTTCGTTGTTTATTAGCCTGAAATGGTGGCCTGATGCCGCCGTGACCCGACTCGGACACTGGGGGCAAGTGGTTGACCGACGACACCCACGAATGCTCTCAAGATCCCCAACATGTGTCCAGGACCCCGAAGATCGGACCCTGTGATGTTTTGCACTGTGTGCCCCTACTTTATGCCTTTGTGAGGCTGCTGCCGGAAAGGAGGGCATTCCGGGATGATAATCTCCATTCCGAGTGGCCTTGGCCCACCGACAAACTCGAGCTGCCAGCTGCCAGTAGTGTAATCCGATGGCCAACTGTCCCCGGCTCAGATTCTGGAGGCTGTGACTGATAAACCAACCAAGAGAGGAAATCTAGTGTAGCCAGAGTTTGGCAGGACCCAGCAACATGCAATGCTCGGAGACATGACGGCGCCAGGATTCAGTCCCCTCGGCTTCTCTTTGCAGTCCAACAAATCATCCGGGGTGTTTGTCAGCGGTCTGGTGCTGTGGAATTCCATTAATCGAATTCCTCTCCTCCTTCATATGTTGAACTTTCTCAGTGAAGTACCGAAAGATTTGACGGCCTTAAAGGGATATACATTGTGCAATGAGCTGAGGTGGATCAAACCTTATGGCTAAGACCATGTCTTCTTTGCGAGATGCAAATCATGGCAAACCGATGACGAAAAGCATGACATCTTGCTCGGCGTCTCATCCTACCCACACTACGCGTGCGCAGCGGTGCACGTTCCCTCGTGAATTACACTCAAGGGAGCCCAAGCTGCCCAACCCAGATAGATGTCTGATGCCACCCTATGATGAACCACAGACGCGAGTGAACAGGAGTTAACGTCAGGGACGATAGGAATCATAGTTTGCCGCATCTCTCACGAGTGACGTTGTCCGGTCGACAAGGGGAATACGACACAGACGCAAACACGTCGTACAATGATGCGAGAGTTGAGCCCACGGAGACGACGAAAGACAGCTTTGAGGTCAGCCCATCTTTGATGGCGTTTGCGATGCTGTCATCGGCGGGACGGGGAGACGGGACCGAGGGGACGTGTACGGACAGCGACGTCAGTCGGTAGGAGCCAAAGGGGAGAAGGGGGGGTACGCAAACTGAAGAGTGAGTGTTGTTGTTGCAGTGGCGAGCAAGCGAGGCCGGACTTATCGCCGTGGGCCGCCCGTCAGCGTCAGCAGCCTGCGTCAGAAGAGGGCTGAGAAGTGAAAGAGGCCGTTTGACGTCAAGGCGGGTGCTGTCCCCGGAGGCTATCAATAGAGCCGCGTACTATTCTCAGGGGTCAGTCTGGCGGCAGCGCCAGGTCCCCAAGTTTAGGGGTCCAACATCCCATTACACTACAGGCAGAACAGGGTGACAGACTTTGTTCCCCTGTCGTTCTGTGCCGTTGGCGGCTCCCTGCGCACTCTCGCTCCCTTAATGATGACGGCACGGGTGAGGTTCTAGAATGCCTATGACAGCAGAGGGATCCATGGGAGACGAATCGAGATCATCATCATCATCATTGTCATCATCAAAGCGGCTCCTTTACGGCCTGGCCCTTTGTTCGGAGTTAGTGAAAGGATTAAAAAGGCCATGTGTTTGTGGAAGGCTGAGACGTCGTCAAGCAATGACGACAATGGGCCGCGGAGGCGATTTGTTTACCGTCTGTTTGGTCGCACAAGGACACATCGCGAAGGTGAGGTCGGCTCTGGCGTCACTTGCTGGGTTAAGCTTATCCATGATCGCAACATGGGCCAATGAGTGCTCAAGGTTCCTGCACCGAGAGCCGGACAGGGGCTTGCGCTTCTCCTCCGGCAATCCTTCGTTCGAGACCATTCAATGCCCCACTCGGTCCTTTCCTCGCTGGGAACCTGGAGGGCAGGAAGAGTAAAGCCAAGAAGCGTACACAGTAGATGGAAGTAACCGAGTATTGCGCAAAAGGAACAACAACCGAGAAAGATGAAATGAGATCAAGCAGAGGAGAGAGGAAGTGACAGGCAGGTCCTCCTCCAGAATTCGAACTGAATGCGGAAGGGGCAAACAAAGAGTTGCAAAGTCCGGCCAGCTGTTGACAGGGGTACGACAAGTATCTCTGTGGGGCATGTACAGCAGATGGCCGGTAGGACCGACGCTAGCAGGGGTTTACAAGTGACCGTGGCCTGAGACTGATGTCATTTTACCTTGCCGCATGGGTGGCGCCTTCTGACCTCAACAGCTTTTTGCGAAGTGGAAAGCTCAGGTCGTCGTCGTTCATGCCTCGCCAACACAGTTTCGCTGTCCACCTCTGCGTGAAAGATGGGAACTGAGTTTGAGTTTTCATCGTAGTACCGCGTAACTTCCACTTGTGGTGCAGTGGTTGTTAGGACAGTCGCGACTCGCTACCATCAGCACATCGTCATTACCGCGAGCTTCTTTCCCGTCGTTTCATTTGTCACGGAATTGCTTTTGGCTATCCCGTCCGAACTCGGTGAAGCCTTCTGTTCCTACTCTTTTCATGATTGATCCATTTTGAGGCTTCACTTCAACTTCCAGAAGCGACAGGGGCAGGATCAGGATGAAGCCTGTGCAAGTTCAGCAGCGCTACTATATGCTAACTAAGCTATCCCACTGTGTGATGCCACTGTCCGAGAACAAAGAAACGCAGGGACCTCCGCCCGCCTGAATATGGGAATTTGGAAAAATGCCTAATCTCCAGCAGAGTCAAAATGGCTTCATTCCAATGGTAAAAACGGAAATGCCATACTTTCCCTGGTCGCTGTCCTCGCTTCCTGGCGCCAGTCATGCCGGCCTGCCAACTTTTTGTCTCATCCTCCTCGAAACCTAGCTCCCCTCCCCACCCCCCTTCAAGCGAAACACCCGTCGCCGACCCATTGGCCGGTGGCCCAGCTTTTCAGCTGCCGCTCTGACTTCCGAACTGCGACAACTACAGCGAGCGAACAGCGCCGAAGAATGGCGGTACTGTGTCAAAATGGCTTCCAAACTAAAGCGAGCTGACAGCCCAAGACTGGCGGTATTGTGCCAAAATGGCTTCTCCTTAAGAATGCGTCGCCCAGTTCTGGCCCAGCCGCCAACAGCAGATACTGTATTGATAGGCACCGACTATTGCGGCCAGAAGCCTTTCTCCCTGCATTAGAGAGGGGAAAAGAGGCATTCGAGGAGCACAAGGGTCCGCTTCTTTCTTTGCTCAACCACTGACATCATGGCAAACCGCGAATCCCTTCTCAACTCGGGCACGGGAAATGCGCCGATCTCTGTTTCTGGCCCGCAGTCAGGCCAAAGGACTGTTGCTGCTGTCGTCAGGTTGCTAGATGGTAAGCCCCAGATCCTGGGTACGTAGAGAGGTACTGTGCACACGCTCCCACTCACACTCACAAACTTCGCCTCCCTCGGTCTCCCGCGTCACGGGCTGCTCCCGGGCCCTTCTTCCGTTCTTCTCCTGCTTCAGTTTTGCCCAGTCCGTCACAGTACCGCACACGGAATCCCTTCATTTCCCCTTCTACTTTCTACACTACGTATATGGCTCCACGGTTCCGAATGAGCTCTGGTGAAACTACCGACGTGCAAATATCCACCATGATCTTCCTCGTGCTCTCTTTTCTCTGAAGCTAGTGGCCAATAGAATGACTTCATCTACACACATTATCAATCTCCCCAAGACCTCCAATGACCTAGGATCAGCAGGGTCTTGCCCTTTTGGGCGTCAGTTAGTTGCTCGAGGAGAAGAACCACTGAACCCGTAGGCGGAATCTCCGCCATACGCTCTCAGCACTCTAGTGTACATAGTAGAAAGCTACCATTTCTACTGACAATAGCACCCATCCTTCTGCGCAACATCTAGGTTGTCCTGACGACCCTGACATCACCTCTTACTATGGGTCATCTTACCGTCTCTCCACTCTGCCGTTGTCGCGCCGAGGACAACGAGGCAGCCCCAAGGCTAACGGCCAACAGACGGTGAGATGGTGAGACTCCGCGCTCGCTCAGCCTCCACAGCCAACAGGTACCTGGCCATGGAAGTGACGGCTTGGGGTACCACGGGGACTCACAACGGCCTGAAGGAGCCATATCGTGCCAGCTACTAGCCAGTTAAGCCTGGAGATTGGTTGGATCAGGGGCGGAGCTTTTTACGCCATCTCGTGCAGCCCGTAGGCCACGGTCCCCCATGTTGACGGTGTTCATCACTGTCGATCACCAATCGAAACAGACAAATCCGTGCAGTTGTGGGTAGCATTGCTAAAACGACGCAATTGTGCTGGATTTGAGGACGACAGTGACACAGAGAGAAAGGTACGGGAATTCTTCTTCCTTAGTCATCGGCTTGTTGGGGGAGTGATGTGTGCGAGTTGACGGCACTGTGGTGGGTTTGCTGTGCACGCCCCTCCCATTGACCCCTTCTTGGCTCTTCTGCCACCCGAGATCCGACGGCCGCGGGCAAAATAACAATGAACCCAAAGAGAGGGAAAAAAAAAAAGACAATGAAAAAAAAAGAGGGGAATGCAGATCACCTCACGGTGACGGAGGAGTCCAAGGAAGAGAGGGATCGCGGGGGAAGAGAATTCTTTCACCCCTCCCCTCCTGGTACTTTGGCACTCTGGTACTCTGGCGCTGCTTCTTTACAGACCCTCACCAAACTCGGGTCTCCATACCCATCTTCTGACCACCCCTTCCGCTTCTTCCACTTTTGTGTGTTCGACCAACCGTTGCCCCCGGCTGCTGGCTCCTTGCCCCCTCTTGATACCCCCCCTACCTTGAGTTTGGTGTGGGCCGCATCAGCGCATCAGTGCAAGCCCATTCCCGCCCCTAGCGTGCTGTGTCGCCTTATGAGATTAGCTTTTTTGGAGCCAAGCCATCTGTTATATAGTTCCCCTCCTCCTTCTTCCCCTAGACCCTCCGTTCATCAGTCTTCTCGACATCTTCATCCAGCTAAAACTTCTCCAACACAATCAACTGTTTCCTAGGTCATCTTTCCTAGCGTCATTCTCCTTACCGTTCAAGCCTTTTTTGCGTCAAGCCATCCACAACACTATTCCAAGACATCCATCCGGCAACCAAAAGCTTAGCTGCCCAACGCCAACGCAAAAAAGCATACCACCTTATTTGCCAACAACCACAACAACCACAATAACAAACCCCCAAACAGAAATGTCGGCTGCTGCCCAGAACTCTGCCTACTCCATCACAATGTCTCCTCCTCCTCCCTTCGACCTGGGCTCCTACTCCCGCTCCATGCATCAGCATACCAAGCGCCAGATGGAGGCCGCTTCCCAGACAAACCTGCCCAGATCCTCGGGGTCGCCTTCCAACAACCAGAACTCCAACGGCCAGAGCCAATCGAACGCCACACCAAGTCTACCCAACGGCGTCTCGGGTACTACTCGCTCGAGGAACTCCAGCGAGTACAGCTATCAATCGTGAGAGCTGCTCCGAGAGTGTGTGAGGATGGGATGGACTGGTTGATTGAGCACACACACTCCTACTCTTGACTACCACCCAACCCGCGCCCACAATCAGGCCTTGCTTATTTGGTCATCTGGGGAAAAAAGATGACATCAATGCTCCTAGAGAACAACGTCAGAGCGTCCCGCTGCAGTGTATCACTGCATGCCGGAAAAGGAGCAAGGTGTGCATGCGACAGGCAGGACACGACGACGACCGTACATGATGCATGATTTCTCCAACAGAGGAGTGGAACTCGTCATGTTTCTCGCGGCCTGGTCCATTTGACCCAAAAAAGTTCCATGTCGCATGCAACCCTATCAAGGTGTCGGGCTAAGGTGTCGGGTTTCAGCGGTGGTGGCTGTCTACTTCTGATCTTTCGTCATGTAATTCGGGTTATCGATTGAGGGGAGTTTATTCTCCTTTGCCTTCTGGTGACTTTGAGAAACTGGCGAGTTTTGTGTTTTTTTACGAATATTCTCTCCTTCTGTTGAACTGGCAAGGCGTTTCGTGGGAGACGGAAAGGTTTTCTTTTTTTATGTTGCGGGTTCCTAGGGAAGATATCTAGAGGGGAAAGCGAAGTTGTTATCATACGGTACACGGAGCTTGTTTCTGGGCCATGAGATTCGGGATCTGGCAGAGGAAATTCTTTTGGGGATTGTACATATTAGTCGTCAGATTTCCCGGAATGATTGATGATTATACCCACTCATGATTTATTCAACGTGTTTTTTTTTTTGAACATGTGAATGTCTGTGTTGATCTACGATGCTCTAACTAACGGTGAGTGTGGGTTATCAATTGGCTGTATTGACTAGAAGTAAACTCACTGGGTATCAACATCCATCATCCACGTCGATCATGTTTGCTGCGATGTACACTAGAAGGCTGAAAGAATGGCCATTACGGACCGCCCCTCGTGGCATTCGACAATCTGCATTCTTTGGCAATCTTCATCATGAGATCCATGATGCCTCTCCACACCCTGACGTACTGATGGTGAAAATTTTCAAACCAAGGTATCTTGACTTCCGGCCGGTTTGTTTCCTCAGACCAGGGGTTGCTTCTTCTTGATACCAAGCAAGGCCGAGTGGTCCTTCTTTTTCTTGACCTGGCGCTTGAAACTGGGAGGGGGCATGTCGGTCGCAGCGGCTGATGCCGGGTTCGAGGCTGTCGCCGCCGTCGCCGTCGCTGCCGTTGACGAAGCAGACGAAGGACCAACACCAGCACTAGGAGAAGAACCGGACGAGCCCTCCCCATTTGCCGCCGCCCCAGGGATACTCGGCAGACCCAACACCTCCTCCTCGGCCGGCGTTTCCTCCAGCTTTTGCTGCAACCTCGCAAACTCAAATGCCTTCCTAGCCGCTTCTGCATCCTCCTCCTCCTCTCTCCTCCTCCTCTCCTCCTCCTCGCTCAATCCCCTCCCACCAAGTACACTCTCAATATCCACCCCACCTTCCCTTTGCGCCCTCTCCAGTCTCGCATTCCGACTCCGAATCTCATCCAACGCATCCGCGACCGCCATCTCCCTTTTGGCGTCAGCCGTCTTTTGCTCCAGTTCCGCCATCGCATTCCTCTCCTCCGCTTGCGCAATCTCCCCATTCTCATCCGCCATCTCCCTCTCGATCCGGTCCAGTCTCTGCTCATCCGTCTCCTCCAGTTCCCCTTCCAACCCGCGGCGCCACGGCTCCGTGTTCCGCTTGGCGCCCTTCTCGACAGCATAGTCCTGGTTTTTGGGGTCGGTCCGGAAGACAATCTCGGCACTACAGCGCGTGCATCGGATGTAGAAGCGGTAGATCTGGATGCCGAGGTAGCGCTCGTCGACGGGGGTTTCCTTGCGCGCGTTGAACTTGCGCCCTTTGTACATGTATTCGCCGCAGGTGGAGCAGCGCAGGGAAAAGGGGGCCATGAGGCGGACGGTTTGGACTTTGGGGCCGGTTTGCTTGGGTTGCCGCGAGCGGCCGACGAGGGAGGGGTCAAAATCCGGGGGGTAGTATTTGGTTAGGACTTTGCGTTCGGACATTTTGAGGGTGGATAGGGGTTGATGATTTGATCAAGGTCGAAAAGGTTGACTGTTTGGTCGTTTTGTCTAACAGGGCAACGAGTGTGAAGCGCTTGTGTTGCAAAGATGTGTAGTGGTGATTTTTAGCGTGTTGATTCGGGTCTGATCGCGCGACAGAAGTTTGATTTCGTGTAACTGGTGAAACTCGTGAACTTGACAAAGGGATGTTGTTAAAAGTCTGGAGTTCGGCAAGGGGAAGCGGAGAGGTGAGGTTGTGGTTGTTGCTGGGTTCTGTCGGATAAGCAGCAGATCGAGATCACGATTCCCCCCCAAAGACTCAAGACGGACCGGACTTATCCATCAAGGTGGGCGCGCCACGTGAGGCTGGGGTGCAGGGAAGAACGGAAGCTTGTGCCACCCCCCACTTTCCGCTGTCAGATTTATAGTTTCATCGGTCACGGTGTTAACGAGCAGACAGGGAGGTTACAGATAGTCGGAAGCACAGATACGCTCCCGTCGGTATGGATGTTTGCAATCATTCTCGCGGGGAAAGAAGAGCTCGATCAGCGCGGAGTACTACTGCGCTATGTTGCATACGGTCGATCAACTGTGTGGCTTTGTTCATCCTTTCTGTCGCTGATCCTGGTGCACGCACCGTGACATCTTGGCGGATCCGAGTCGCGTAACAGTTCAAGCTATGAGCGTACTGTGTAGCAGTTGCGGGTTAGGGTTATCAACGATCATCCGCCTTTTAACCCACTGCGCGCTTGTGAATATCTCCCGTTAACACGAACCGCAACTTGAACGAGCATCGCTCATTGTTTGCCGACGGTTCGAAGACTCGAACAAGGTCCTGCTGAAAATACTGAAGCATCACTCTCATATTGTCTTCATTATTACGTTCAGCATCTGGTAAAGTTAGTCGGTATTCCAGGTATCCAAAAACACGCCGGTCACACAATCAACACGATCACATAGTTGCCTGACATGAGATAATCCCATCACCACCCACGGCATCAACGCCGATATGAAATCCACCAAACATAAACAATAACACAAATGGCCCAGAGCTGAAACAGAAACACCCCGGTCCAAATGGATGTGTACGACAATAACACCTTTAATGGGAAAGACGATTTCCCCCGAAAGATCCTGTCCCAGCTGCTAGGCTCACATGGTATGGCCTCTCACCTCCGCCAATTTAACCCTCTCATCCCAATCCTCAGCTAACCACACCCCCTTTTTTATCCAAACAGGCCCCGTCCACGCAGTAACCTACTCTGCCTCACCAGGGACCTACATCCTCACTGGATCTGCCGACCGGTCCATCCGTCTCTACAACCCCATCCCAGCCTCCCCCTCGTCTTCAACCGCGACCACCACCACCTCATCCACTTCCTTCATCACAAAACCTTCCCAGCCCCCCTCAACCACACCCCCACAAGGCCGCCTGATCCAAACCTACACCTCCCACGGCTACGAAGTCCTCTCTCTCTCCGTTTCCTCCTCCAACGCCACCTTTGCGTCCTCAGGCGGCGACCGCGCCGTCTTCCTCTGGGACGTTTCGACAGCCACCACCATCCGCCGCTTTTCCAACCAGGGCCACACCACGGGGCGCATCAACTCGGTCATTTTTGCTGGCGTCGATGATTCCCTGCTGATTTCGGGAGGGCACGACACGACGGTGCGGATATGGGATGTGCGCTCGCAGAGTTCAAGTAGACCCGTGCAGGTGCTGCGGGAGGCCAAGGATGGGATCACGAGTCTTGCTGTATCTCCCGGAGGAGCGGAGGTACTGGCGGGGAGTGTGGATGGACGGGTGAGGACGTATGATGTGCGGATGGGACGGTTGGTGACAGATGTGTTCCCGGGAGCGGTGACGAGTCTGTGTCTGGCGAGAGATGGGAAGACGGTTCTTGTGGGGAGTTTGGATAGTAAGATCCGGTTGATGGACAGGAGCAATGGGCAGTGTCTGAGGACGTATGGCGGCGATGGAAATGCGAACGGGGACGCAGCTGGGGGGTGGACGAATAAGGAGATTAGGGTGCAGAGCGTGTTGGGAGGCGGGGAGAGATGGGTTGTTGCTGGTGATGAGAATGGAGCGGAGAACTCGAACGGAGAGGGACGGGTGTGGGCTTGGGATCTCTTGACCGGCAAGCTTGTGGCTAAGCTTGGGGTTCCGTGGGGGCCTGGTGGTGGGAAGGTTGTGGTGGGAAGGGATGGGAAGGAAAAGGAGAGGAAGAATGTGGTCAGTTGTGTTGCGTGGAAGGACGGTGGGTTTGGGAACCAGTTTTGTGTCGGCGGTACATCGGGGGTTGTGACAGTGTATGGAGAAGCCTGATCATCAGTGATAGTCATGAATGCGTTGAAAACCTTGGATCGATATCTGAGGGCTCGTACAGCCGTTTACCTATGTTTTTACTTGATGCAAAATTCCATACCGATCTAGTTTATGGGAAGGACCAGGGCACAGTGTACGTCACGTATTATACAATGCGGGTACGAATTGGTTCCTTTATTCCGATCAAAAATTCAACAAGAGTAAGCCGTTCCGCATCTTCTAACAGTTTGAACCCTCATGCTACTCTAACAGACGTATCCGCAGCGTCTTCGGTGGCATAGAACCGCCGTGAGAATCCAAGAACACACCCCGTAACCGCCCATTTTGATCATGTGTCGTGCATCAGGAATTCGTCATAAATTAGTATGTACAAGCATCATTAGATGGCTGGATACCGCCAGCGTCAGACAAGTTCCTTCGTCAGTTCCATAAGCGTATGTATCCCGAAAGCATGTCATATGCAACGCCGCAAGGCTACGTAGCCGGGTATGATACAGTAGCGCGGCCCAGAGGCTTTTCGTTGCCGAAAACCCAGCCACGCCAACGCTCCATTACTGTTTCGTGTTTTATTTTTTTTTTTTTTCGATGTGTTTGTCGTTCGGGTTTCGTTCATAGCTTAGCCCATGCCGACGTACTTGAACCAGTTGGGTCTGCAATCTTCCCTGTTGAGCCAGGCCTCGCCATCGGTGAAACGGCCGGTAACGCAGCCCTTGCACTTGGGGGAGTTGGGACAGTTGAAGAAGGGAATGTGCTGATAGCCAATATCGCGGAACCTAAAAAAGGGATGGTCAGCATAAGTGGTTTAGGCAAATTTTCTGTCGACACTCACCAATGAATCTTGCTAGAGTCCTCGAAGAGACCCAGGGCAATACTGTGGACAGGTGCGTCACCCCAACGCTCGTAGAAAAAGCCACCGGCACGGTCCAAGTGGTTGAAATAATCCTCGTACGCCTTGCTGCGCCAGAAGTTCATATCACCAATCTCAAAGTTGCTCCAGAAGTGGCATGTCGAATAACCATTGGCATCCTTTGTGTGGTCGGGACGGCGGGTCTTGTCCGTCAACCAATTCATGGCGCTGTTCTCGTGCACGTACTCGGGGTGCTCGGCCAAGAACTTTTCGGTTTCAGGCCACAGAGTGGTGATGGAGGCCGGGGCGTCGTACAGGTTGATGGTGAAGCCGTACGTCTTGTTGTTATCGTGCATGTAGCGGAAAACGTCATAGTCGACATCGCAAAAGAAGTGAACGTTGGGCTCGACGCGCCAGTAGTACTGCGTGTTGGCCAGGGCCGGGTGCTTGTAGAACATGCCGCTGTTCCACCGACACATTTGGTGGTACGAGATTTTGTCGGCATACTGAATCTTCTTTTCTTCGAGGATCTTGACCGACTCGTGGTACAGGTCCTGGTTAATCCATGATGGCATTTCCCAGTGCTCCTTGGGAATAAGTTCTGTAACCGTCACAGTGAAATCAGCCCGTCGCTCCACGTATCATGCCGTGTGGGTGGCTACACCGCCTTACGTACCGTATCTGACCTCGGCCTTCGTTACCGCGCGCGTTCTCTTCTTGAACTCTTCGGAAAAGGGCACGTCATTGAAAAAGGTCCACGGGTAGTTGAACTTGTGGTTCCATGTCCGCTCGAGGTCGCGCATCGCCTGCAGCATGCCTTCCAGCTCCTCGTTTCGCACCAGCGCCAGCAGAGTGGCATTGATTCTGGCCGAGTTCTTTGCGCCCGGCGCATAGTCTTCGGAAGCGCGTATGAGCTTCCCTTCGGGTTCTCCCGTAGCTGTGCGACGCGCAAGAGCAGGTTAGCATCGAACAGCAATGCGACTGCGGACAAAACAAAAGCGCCACATCCACTTACGGTCCAGGTTGGGATCCCGCTCAAAGGACAAGTATTTGTCTTTGGTCATGGCGGTTCCCGATGGCGACAGAAGCTGCCATATGAAGAAACACCAGACGAGCGCAGCCGCCAGGGCCAGGGCTCGTACTGGGCGAGCAATCGCCATTGTGATAGGAGGTTAGGAGACTGGAGAAGTCCAAGTGTCCAACCGGGATGGTTCGAGGTGTCACGGCCACGGGGTTGACTACTTCATCTATCAAACGGTGATATACCTAAGTTGATGGTGGGATCGCAGCGCGGGGCTCGGCGACGTGCCGACTCTTGTACTGCGATGGCCAAGCTCGGGGGTGGGTCGAGTGGTGATGACCTGAAAAAGGGGAAGACAGGAACAAGGCAGAATTCAGGAAGGTCAAAAAAGATGGAGATGCCAGCGCCGATGTTAGGTGGGTGGGTGTGTTTGCTTGTCAGGCGCAGATGGGCACAGACGGATACAGCTGCAGGCAGGAAAGGCGGAAAAGGGGACCACTAAAAGTTACAGCGGGCGGGCAGCGAGGTCCCACGCTGGTGGCTCCCCACTGCTGCCCGCCCGCCGCCACTATCAGCGTAGTTCCTATCGGTGCGTCCAGACGACCGGGATTCGCGTGTCTGAGGCTGATAGCGCTGCCCCTGTCGCATTGGACGGACGGGTGCGTGTTTGCCTTGGCACCACTTCAAAGGCTCAAACAATTGTTTTGGTTCGAATAGGGGTTCATTGAAGCTCTTGACCACGGCTACACTTTGACTTGATGCCACCCGATTGGCGACGTGGTCGAGTTGGGTGTGGCTTGTTGCTAGGAATGGAAGTGGTCTTGCCTGCCTGGGCTTATCGTCGTGGTGACCGGCAGGCTATCAGGTGAAAACGAAGGGATGTGGCTGGTCCGTGCGCCTGCCTGTTGTTGTTCGGTGCTGCCCGCTGGAACATGGCCGCCGCAGTGCATCAGGTGCGTCGGGTGCCCGTGAGGTCTTGTCCCTGTGGTTGAGAACCTCACCTAACTTTTTGCAATTCCATTTCTTCCCTTCAACGAAAGCTTCTTCCTCTCAGCTGCTTCACAAAAAAGATGGTCCTGCTTGAGACGTCGAATGTTCTCATTGAGTGAATTGACATTTGATTGGACTTACCTTTATAATAGGAACTAGTGCATTACCACCTGTTCCCAACTTCACGCACTGCTAATTCCCCAGCAAGAGCAGCTCGGTAAACCCAACCTGGACGTCAAGCGATGCTAGTGGATCAAGTCGCGTCTAACACTGCTTGCGACGAAACACCAGTTTGAGCCGGGCAGTAGACTTTCACTTCTCGTGTTTACTCACTCCATTCTCAGGATGCTCAGTCACTGCAAGGCGGTAGCATGTCATACCTTTCAGAGCTCGCGGCGTTGACCGACGAGCTTATTGATGCCGTTGCCGCCGTCCCAAAGGTCTGTTATTTTCAATCCCCCTTTTCCGGCCATGGCCTGCCTTGACTGACATTGCCATTAGACCCAAAAACGAAAACTCCAGTCTCTGAGGGAATCAACAGTACAAAGTCTGCTGAACCAGAACTTTCTTAGGACGAACCAGTTCGAGGTGCAGAACCGCCTGGCTGGGCTTGTGGAACGCTTCCGCATCATCAATCGAGAACCCCTTGGAGACGCGCTTGAGCAACGACTGGATGCACTCAAGCCGCACGTCAACGACTTCACCCCAGAAGTATTGCACTTCCTCCTGGAGCTGTCCGACAAGCCTGCGCAAAAGTCCAGGCTGAGCGATCTTGAGCGCCTGAAAGAACCAGAGAAGGATGCTGTACCCAAACTGACTTGGCGACAGATTGCCAAGGAAGATGGCTGGCATCAAGAGCGCGCTCTGTGGAAAATTCTTGACCATGCTCCGAGTTCAGACGAAGAAGACTATTACGAACGCGAGCATGTGGCTTCCGATGTTTCCATTGCATCTCCAAGCACAGCTTCCTCAGTTCCAGACGATGCCCCACGCACAGCACAGGACTTGGCCATCAAGCTACCAGGCGGTGAAGGGTTGCTGAGACGGATCCTAGACAGCCAGGACTGGAGAAATGCCACCCATGATCTTGATCCCGATGGGCGACAGAAGAAGACGCCCATCACAAGTCTCCAACTTCTCCGCGAAGTTGTATTTATGCTCCGCGGCCTGCCAACCTCTCTATTTGATTTAGCATGTAAGCCTGTTCCCGACTACGTGCTAGAGGGAGTTTCATGGCAGACGTACGATGCTCTGGTGAACACCTTTTCCGAATGTGGCCGAAAGCTCGCCCCGCTGCGCATTTACGCTAGCAAAAAGGAAAAAGAAGAACCACTTCTCCAGGTGTTCCAGGACTCACTTCAAAGGGCTCTTCAGGCATTCGACCAAGAGTTGACTGCTATTCAAGGGCGGTTTGTTGCCATTCACAAGGACGTGATTGTCAGCCTAGTGGCCATGTTGGCAGAACTAGGGCCGTCATTAGCCCCCTTATATGTCCTTTCCGGTATCGTACAGCAAGTCCATCGGGAACGCAATACCAAGGCATTTCGTTACCTTGAAGTGCTTTATGACGCAGTGGGAATGGCACAAATGGAAGGTAGCCTTGACACATATAAGCTTCTGGGGACCATCTTCCTTGATTGCTTTCAAGTGTACCTGAAACCTATCCGATTCTGGATGGAAGAAGGGGAACTACTCGCCGGAGATCGGACCTTTTTCATCGGCAAGTCATCTGCGAGGCCCCAGTTGCACCAAATATGGGAACAGCAGTTTCACCAACTCGTCAGCTCGGAAGGAGTCTTGAATGCCCCACGGTTCCTGAGTCCTGCGGTTGATCGAATAGTCCGGGCTGGAAAAAGCATTGTGGTCTTGAAACATCTCAAGCGATATTCCCCCGTAGCAGACCGGATGAAAGCAGAGGAACCACCCATGGAATTTGCTGCCGTCTGCTCAGATGGCACTAGCTTTGCACCATTTTCGGAGCTCTTTGGCAATGCCTTCAACAAGTGGATTCAAAGCAAATACCACTCAGCATCCATCACGTTGCTTGATATCCTGTTCGACTCATACGGGCTATCGCGGGCATTCGACGCTCTCCGATGTCTCTACTTGATGTCCGACGGCGCCACCTCGGATGCCTTTGCTTCGACCATCTTCAGACAACTGGATAACTTCAGTACGAGTTGGAACGACAAGTTCACACTGACCGAAATTGCTCAGGAGGCATTTTCACAGTGCGTGGCCGGGCATCGCTTGTCCGCCGATATCGAGCAACGGTATATCGCCGACAGCCCAGCCGCTTCCCGGGCCTCAGTCCGCAACACCCTCCCAGCTATCCGCCTCATTTACCACTTACCATGGCCTATCCAGATGATCATCAGTCCGGCCGAGGTCAAAGGGTATCAAACAATGTTTGTCTTCCTGCTACAAACTCGCAGAGCCATATACCTTCTCAAGCACCCGCTCTTGGGAACCACCACCACGCCAGCCCGCCACCAATCCACCTACTACCTTCTTCGAACCAAGCTCCTCTGGTTCTGCAACACCATGATGAGCTACCTCACCACGCTCGTCTTTGCGCCCAACATCAACAAAATGGACGAAGCCTTACAACATGCGCTGGACGTTGACGACGTCGGCGAGGTGCACTCCAAGTTTCTCGATCGGATCCTCAGCGAATCCTGCCAAGGGAAGCGACTTCGTCCCATCCGCGACTGCATCCTGGACATATACGACCTGGCCATCAAGCTGGAAGACAGCCACCAGGCGGAGATGGCCAGGCTGGAAGAGGAGCAGCAGGAGATTTCGAGGCTGTCGACATTCTCGGCTTCGCAGCAGCAGCAACAGCACAAGCGAAAGACTAGAGCGGGGAGGACGGCCTCGTTGTATAGCAAGACAGGTTTAGGGGTGGGAATTGATGGGGAGGATGACGGTGATGATGATGAAGGTGAAAACGCTGCTTGTGCTATAAGGGAGGAGAAGTGGAAGAGGAGTATTATGGAGGACGCCCGTGCAAGGGGAAACAATAAGTCGACTGCTGCGATCATGAAAGAGATGCACAGCGACTTTGAGCGACATCTTAGGTTTGTCGCGAGCGGACTGAGAGGTGTGGCGAGGGGGAGCAGGGAGGATGCGGCGGCGAAGTGGGACTTGCTGGCGGAGATGCTTGAGGGGGGGATCAAAGAGGCGAGACATGTTTTCTGAATAGGAAAACAAGTACCCGGGGGTTCTTTATGGAGCTGGAATGTCATCAGTAGTTGTATGGAGTTGTTAATGCTATATAGAGCAGTGCTGCGTATCTTCGGCATTGTATCATGTTCATAAGCATCGCATCAGATCCTGCTGACATTCATAGCAAGTCCGTTCATTGAGTTATCCAAGATAGTAAACCTCGTCATCACTCAAACCCTCTGCCTCCCCTCAGAAAGCTATTAGGCCCATTGCAACAAGCGATTAACGCAAGCAAGAACCGCCAAATGGCCTTTCCAATCCAGCCAGCAAGAAGAACAGCAGCATGATGGACTACGGGGGTGATATGATTCTATCTTGCCATGGACTGGAGCATCGCGCGAGGTCGTTTGACACCATCACCCTCAACACAAGCCAGCATCACTCATGACTCCAAACCCAGTAATAAGATGCATACCATGGCACAACGGTTTCCATTCAACTCAACCACTCCCTCAAATAGCTCAAGAGCACCCATCCAAGCTGCCCGACTCTTTCACAGCAACGGCGAGAACTTCCATTCGCTTCAACTCATATCTGCTACATCTACAGTCCATACGCATATGCACACCATGCATAGCTACCCCTCTTTACCTTTACCTTTACCTTTACCTTGCTCTGCCTACCGTAGAAACTCGCCAAATTGGCAAACTTCTATACTAACCCTCTTCGAGCGCCCGGCAGTAAGCACAGGCAGCTGCATACTTCTGTACCTATATGATGTCCGCTAAGGTAGAGAAAGCTCTTGCATTTTGTAGCACAGGCTCGGACTTGGGCGCTGCAGATCTACCTGTACTATGTCCCTAACCCCCTCTTTTTCCAGTCTGGCAAGTTTCTTCGGTCTATTGGCAACATGCCATACAGGGCCCTGCAAATCCCGACGGTATCACGCCGTCCGCTGCACCCATATAGGTTGGATGTACACTACATAGGTAGATAGGTATGCCTGTGCCACTCACCAGCAGCGAATAGACGGAAGAAGTTCTATGCGTTCCATGCAATAGAAGGCAATGAATTCATCAAAGGATTTCGGGCAGCATTCAAGCTTTCTGGTCTACCTAGGTAGGTACCTAAGTAGGAACCGTACTTAGGTACTTATTCTCGCATTGCATCCATCCATCCATCCATGTAGCATCTTTCATCATCCGACCTTGTGAGTGAGTCCATTCGCAATGCCTCTTACGTTCCACCATCATTATCATCCTTTATGACCCCAACCCCCCGGAAAGAAGAACCTTCCGTGCTGCTTCTAGAAGGTCAGCCGCTGTCGGGTTGCGGCGTAGATATGCATGTCAGATTGTCAGATTGTCGGGGCGTTACACTGTAACATTGCGTGCGAGGATGACGGAAGCACGGCAGAAACAGACTGAATGGAAAAACTAAGGGGATAGGTAATAACGGAATAATTTCCGTACTTGCATCATGTACAAGGTGCAGCGATGATGCCTCCCTCCCATATTGGGGTACCGACCGGTATGGGGAGGGCGGGTGGGTCACGGGGAGGGAAGAAGGGAAGTGGAAGGGAACTGAAATGGAAGAAAAAAGCAATGGAAAAAGGAAGGAAGGAAGGAAGAAAGAAAGGAAGGCTCGGAAATGTGGGGGTTGGCGTGCAATGCGATACTTCAGTTTCGGTCCCGGGTCGGCTTTAGGTCCGCAATGTGGAAGTGGAAAGTGATTTGAAGTGTGATGGCGGTTGTGATGTTGGCTTTCTGGTCTGCATGTTGTATATCTGACTACAGGTACATTCCAGTGTTTAACGTTGATCATGAATGCCATGGGTTTACAGGGATGAACACATGCCTGCCTTCTGATTTTAGAACAGGAAGAGATGATTCACGAGGAAAGTCCGGATGATTCAAGCTGACAACCTACCTCTACCTACCTACCTACCTACCTAGTCAAGCACTTTCTCAAACTCCGTGCCTTGCCACTCGCTGCCACTGCACGGCATACAAATAAGGCCGTATCAAGGAACTGACTACTTAGCCATCATTCAAGTGGTTGCTGCTGATGCCACCGAAAGGTACTTATATCCATCCATCTCGACTACAAAGTACCTCTAAATCTGGGACTTGACCAAGTCGCTTTGGCACTACAGCTATGCTTATCATTTTCAGCAATGTTCAATACTTATTCGAGTCGTCACTCAACGGCCAATAACAAACGGTACAGCTCGACCAAGCAATAAGAGACACAATATTAATATTTGATATGGCCGTGCTCGAAATGCTACCTCATCTGTCCAGTCTGCAAAGGGAAAGATTGGAGCCAAGATGTAAGCAGAGAGAGCCGCGCATGAAATGAATTTTAAACAGAGGAAGGAACCAAGAAAGAACGACGGGGATGTCGAGGTACGGTTACAGGCATTTTTGCGACTGAGTAGTAGTGGAAGTTGGAAAGTGCAAGCTGGAGTTGGTGTACCTACCCTATACAGTAGACGTAGTCAATGTAGCAGGTACAATAGGTGGAAGTTGTGTTTTGTTCTTTCCGTTCCTTCTTTCCTTCTTTCAGATTTCCAAGACCCTCGGGCTTCTATCGCACGATCCCGTCTGCTCTGCATATCATATCATCGATGATACTTGTCGTATCGTGCCGTAACACGGTACCAAAGGTGAGACACTTCAGCCGTATAAGCAGAGGTGGATGTACGTACATTACTTCTAGTGGCTGCCTGTACGAAGACGGGAAGTACCAGAGTACATGCAGATTGGAGGGCCTTGCGAAAATTTGAATGGGAGAAACACAAATGCCTGTCAAATGTGCAGTCCCTATCCTATGGCCGTGGTTTACCTGCCTAGAGGTATGTACATCGCCTCTAGAATGTCTAGCTACCTAGGTATGTACAACAGCTGCCGTAAAACCTTCAACGGCATATCAACTATCACGGTACATATGTGTTCCAATCTCCTTTAACTTTTCCGAATTGAGAGCGAACCGCTCGTTATAATGGCGTGGAAGTTTTCTGGAAACAGCCAAAGTGTGTTACATGCAAAATGTGCGAATTGCATTGCATGTGCATACATAATGTGATGACTTGGAGGTTACATGGCATGGAAGGATATCGCATGATATTCTAGAAGCAGCCAAGAAGCGAAAGCATGGAAGCCAAGAGGGTTGACGACCTTCGTTACTACCGAAACAACGCAGTGCGCAATGGAAACCTAATTGGGAATAAAATCCAGGGTAGGAAATGATGAGCAATGAACTTCATTCGGTCTGTATGCTACCTACCTTGTGTCTGCTGCATTTGGATACAAAGGGCCATCAAACGGATCGTCGGCTCGACAAGTGGCCGCACCCAGGTAAAAACAGGTTTATTGGAGGATAGATGGACAAGCAGATTGGAAAGATGAGGTAATGAGGCAGACGGGCCATCAATTTGTGATCGGCTGTGTAACTGTTGATAGAGCCAGGGAGACCAATTCAGTGTCTCGCAGTTGCGAGAGAAAACCTCTCTCTCAGCCTCTACCTCACCCCATTGACTCTATCCAAGCTCCTGATTCCTGGTACACTCATCGGAGTGAGGGAGTCGTATCACCTTCTGCTCCAAACTCAAATGCCGGGTTATTTTACTGAGCCACCCTAAGGACAGAAACGCCGAAACCAAATTTGCGCATGCATGTGATAATATGAAAACATGTTGATGATGGTCAACAGGAGAAGAGAAACCGAAGATGCATCTAGCCGCCAAATACACCCAAACACAGCTGTCTTCAACAACATGCTTGATGGAAGATGATTGTACATGTTGTGAGAAGTCATAAAGGGAAAAGTCAAGATCGAGATATCCGAAGAATGGTGACCCCGAGAAGGTCCAAGTCAAATCGATAAGAAAACAAGCACAATCGAACAGGTGGAAAGTAGATCGACTGAAACGCCGTTACTGCTTCAATTCCACTCACGCAGCCACCCATGCATATAAGCCGTGCTGCATAACCTTCTTCATTGTACACATAACTCATAATAAGAAAAAGTAGCACGCGTATTCTCGTTGCATAATCCAGAATACTCTGCATATCCATCATCATGGAGGAACCCTTCAAGCCCGGCGCCTCCCTTGTTCAGTTTGTCATACTTCTTGGCGCATGGGTCGTTTGTAGTCCTGCATAGATGCAGTCCATCTCTCTTGGAAACCTCGTCTCAAGCATTTCACCCATTTGCCAGCTGAGCACACCTTCTGAAACTGTAGCCGCAGCCCGTTTCTCGTCTTTTGCATCACAAACGGTGCCATCCTCTCCATTGTGATAGGTCCTGTCAAGGCTGTCGTCTGGATTTGCAACGTAAACTCGGGTTCCCACAAACTCAAACTCATACTCTGACATATTCCCCCTTCCTCTTCCAGCAAGGGGTACGGCAAGAGCATCGTCCAGACCCTCAGTTTTCTCCCTGATGGCTACCAGCCTGTCCAGTCGATGATCCAACATCGTCTTGTGCGCCCTTGCATCTTCCCATACCATACCCAGGACCTCCAAGACACTTCGTGCAATGGCAAGACTGTCAATCAGTTCTGGAAGATGTTGTATGCGGCCCTCCGCCGAAAGCACATCCAATGCCTCAAGAACGGCGAAGCTGGTAAAGGGTGGTGGCATACTGGTACCATCTGGGCTAGCGTTTCCAGAAGCTTTGATATCATTTGCTACTGTACACACGATGTCCAGTAACTGATGGGCATTGGTGCGGGCTATGCGTGCATGTTCGAGTCTCTGCAGCGACGAAGTCGAGAAACATGAGTGAATGTGTCGATGCGCTTTAACCATCGTGAGATGGTAAACAAGATGCATCAGGATAAAGGATCCCTTATTTTCCCTTTGCACCTTGTCGAGAGCGGCGGCAGAGAAAAGAAAGCCAGGAGAGAGTGAACTTCTCCAGCATTCGAGCCGGGATAGTAAGCGTTGATGGAACCCGGCCATAACATCCACTTCGCCTTCTGATAGGTGACTACCGGAATGCGCAACTCGGTATATCAAGGCCATGACCTGTCCCCAAAGGGCCACCACCTGAATCAGATAGCCCATCATCCCTGCTTTCGTCCCCTTGTCGACTGCCTGCATATCCCGGTGCTTCTGATCTGGCTCAGGAAGGCCAGAAGAGTTGATATTCTCGAATGTCGAGACCGGCACAGAGACGTCTTCTTGTTCTTCGAACGAGCGGATATCCATTGGAAGTCGGAGGAAGATATCGGCTGTGTTGATAACTGCCATCCGGGTTGGAAACAGGCCATTTAGTCTCTCTAACAAGAAACATGACCAGAACGTCCTTCTTCTGCATTCAGAAAACCCAGCCCTGGTCAATCCATATGGGAATGTTTTGCGTCCTACGTCCGGAGACTGATCCAACTCTAGATTTAACTGCAAATAGGCCGCTGCCGACATAGCGCTGCTAGACATTTCATTGGCATCGATAGGCTTCGAAATAGCCATATAGTAGAGGGAAAGGAGGATTCTCGCCTGGACAAGCTGTATTGACATCGCTGCGTGCTCTGTAGCGTAACGGGCTACCTGAGCGTAGTGGTTGGTTTTCTCCGTCTTATGGTCGAGCCCACTGGACCCAGCAATCGATAGGAGGGAACCGAGAGCAAGGATGCTATAGACGAGCATCAGATCTTCTGGGGACTTGTTTTTATGGTGAGCGATGTTCTGTACCCAGATTTTGAATGCCTTTTCGGGGAGGAATCGGAAGGTCGTGGCATCGATGCACACAAAAAATGAGGTTATGGTGCTGATCACGGACTCAGGATCGGAGACATACGGGTCTGTTTGCCATGCACGGCACACTGTGTCCTCGTGGACCCGAGGAAGTTCAGGCTGACGGTGCCAGGACATGTTGGACCGGATCATGTGGTCCGCTGCCGGTGCCATAAGCGGTCGGTGCTCCCCTGCGGGGGCGTAGTTGTCGTAGCCCACCCGTAGCCGTTTCGACGGCACGGATGAGGCCATCTCGGGGCTTGCTGGGCGAAAAGTGGTGCGTGGTGAAACAGATCCACTCGAGTGCACGCTCGTCCTCGCGTGCTCGTGCGGTGGTGGCCGAATTATGCTGGGCAACCGGCGTGCATCGTCGACTTCGGCGGGCGGAGTCGAGGGTGAAGTATTGTGTCCACCCCGCGGCCTGTAACACATAGGTTGGATATTAGATGTTGATCTGCTATCACACAGAACGCCAGCGGTTTACTGGGCGAAAGGGGCTGATAATACTTACGCATTCTTGAACCTGCAAGTACGCCCAAACTTCTCACATTGCGCGCATCGAGGGTAATCTGGATCACACTTGATCTTCTTCTCCCGGCAAGTGATGCAGGCGATTGCTAGCCTCTTTCTTGGCTTCCCAGCTTTTGTCACTCCCCAGTGGGCATTGACTTTCTCGCCATCAATGACATCTTTGCAACGGGTTCCATCGTCATATATGAAATACGTTTCGCCATCGACCTTTTCCTCCCTGACAAATCTGGGCAAAAAGTGCGTTCCTGTCCAAATTTTCGGGCCCAATCCATCCTTGCCCACGATGACCTCGGAGGCACCAGTGCTAACTGGTGTTGGTGGTTGCGTAGCCGGTCGCTCGCTACGTAAGCCCAAGTCTCCCTCACGGCCCGGGATGCCGTTCGAAAGCTGACTATGGGGTCGCTCAGTGGGCGATGATCTATACGGTGCGTACTCCCGGTTTCCCAGCGCGTATTCTTGGCCAGTTTCGTGACGCAGCGACCATTTGTTCCCAGCGCTGAAACCGGACTGAGAATAAGGCCGTTGGAGCTCTGACTCCCTGACCATGGGTGAAAGGGGGCCTGGGAGCGCCCGTGACGGTGGCGGAAAGTGGGGCCGTTCATCAAGTCTGGGATCCGGTGTACTGCGAGGCTGCGAAGTCAATGATGGAGGGGGAATATAAGGGGACGAAGATGCCGAGTAAGGTCTATCCCAACTGCCAGCTGGTCCTCGGGGATGATCAAGCGCTGACGACGATGTTGTGTACAATGCTGGACGGTCCGAGAAAGTCGGCGAACGCAATGGGCGAAATTGCGACGTGGATGGGCCAAATAGGCTACTCAATGAAGGCAACTGCTGCCGCCCAACGTTCTGGTTGGTGCTGACGTCTCTCGAGGCTTGTGCTTCGTCGGGACTGTTCGTGGAGGGCATATCGCCTGTCCTGGATATGTGGTCATAATAGGACATGGGCGGTGAAAGTGGAACAACAGAGTTCCGTGGTCGTTTTTGGAGTATCTTGAAGTTGAATGAGGATATGTCTGAATTTGACAGCTCGGGTGGAGTGGTGGGAATAGATAGCCGGTAACGAGTGTCGGGGCAAGAGGTAATCCCCATTGAGAATGATGTTGGTTCAGCTTTGATAGATCGGTGTCCTTGTTGTCATATCACACCTCAAGAAGCAGGCGGTTAGGGGCAGCCGGGGAACTAGCGAGTCCTGATTCCTAGTGTATAGCAAGCCCAACGGTCTGCCGAAGCACACAAAGAGTCGAAGAAGGCGGCTGGTAGCTAGATGTTGGCCGTGGAAAGATGCATAGGCGGCACAGTTCACTCACAAAGCCCTTGTATATGAGCACATGGAGAGAGCTACTTAGTCGAGCGCTTAACTGGATGAGCATAAAGGGAGCGCGTTGGACCGTGGGTAACGATGTATGTAGTGATGATGATGATGATGATGATGATGATGATGATCAAAACTTGCGAAAGATTGGATCGAGGCGCCGACAGGGACAAGATTCTCGGGAGAGATGTTGTTGGAGCTGATGTTCAGACCGACAGAGAGAGGGAAGGATAGAGATCGAGGTGGGAAGCCGAATGGGAAGCCAGGCAGAGCGCTTGTGGCTGAGAAGGCTGTAAGTGGAAAAGGTTCGGATCTTGTATGGGGGTCCCGTGCATCTCCCGGCAAGAGCCTAGACGTCTGGTCGGCCCCAATCTGGTGAAGCAAGCCGCCGCGGGATCCACAGACAAGGCAGGCTAAGAAGAGGACCACAAGACAGGGCTAAAACTGCTAGTGCTTTGTAGGGTCCACGAAGGGGGGGGGGGTATGCTGGGGTAGTGGAACCAGTGTCCAGGAAACCAAGTAACGGGAAGGGATACCGACGGGGGCCGCAGTGAGTGGTCTGCTGCCTCGCTGCAAGACCTATCTGGCCCGGGGATTTATTGGCGTGTTCTACTGTGCTTAAACGTCCACACGTGCCTCTGGCTTGTACCGGTTTTCGTGGCCTCTCTTGTCCTGTATGCCAACGTGGAAGCTTATTCGACGGAGAACGATTACTTGAAGCTCGTGTCCGATGGGTTCCGGCACAGCAGCGGCGTGGCGTCTTGTCCCTCTTTGCGTGCAGAAAATATGCGGAAGATGGGAGCATATAGCGGACACGTAAACCAGTCAGTGTACAATTGGTATTCGGTATTAATCTGTAGTCTCGAGTAGCTCGATAAGGAGCTAGCAAGGGGAAATGAGCGAGTCCGTGGAATGGTCTGATATGACCAGAAATCAAGGCTTGGAGCTTTGTCAAACCAAGGGAACAAGGAAGAGAAACCAGCAAGTTCCCGGCATCGACTTTGGCGACCCTGCCTTTGCAATCCATCTGCCTATTCCTCATCGAACTGCTAGCCGCATGGGATTATGCCGCAGTCTGTAAAGAGGAGGGGCGTGGGGCAAGCATGTAAGGGGGCGTCGGGGCAGACAACGGGACTTGCACGGACTGAAGTTCTCGGCAGTGGGTACGAAGAGTCCGCGCACGGCGGAGGGAGATGTGATGCCATGATGGGCTACCACGAGGCAAAAGAGGGTTCGGGAAGATAAGGGGCTATTGGGTGTAGTGTAGTGGTTGAGGTTCGTTAACGGGTGGTGGGAGGCTTTGGCTTGGGTGATCCGGGATGACAAGGGACGGGAATTGGGACCGGGGCCTGCCAATCCAAAATCCAAACAGGGGACGCAGCCAGGATCAGGGGCACGCTACTGTGTAAGATGCACGTCCAATGCCCAGCCGCTAAGGATAATGGAAGGCCGTAAGAAGACTTTTTTTTTTTTTTTTTTTTTTTTTTTTTTTTTTTTTTTTTTTTATGCTTCTGTGAGGTGACGCAGGATTGGAACTTGAACTAAAGCCGGGAATGGGCCGAGAGCCGGATGGAGCCACTGGCAAATACCGTACCGTGACACTAATCGCGGGAAGACCGATTCATCTCTTCAAGATGATCTATCTTGTCTCGAGTCTGTAGAAGGTGGCCCGCGTGGGTGATGAACCTCGAGATTGTGTGGGTGAGCGGCAGCAACGGGCCTTGCAACGACCCTGATGATTTCTGTATCGATACCTGCCTGGCCCATCTGCACTCGTACGGCGTAGCAGTGTGTGCGGTACACTACCAATTTAGTAGGTACCTCTACCATCCACCTTCTGTGCTGGCCGGGGATGATACCCTGGACCAGAAGAACAAGATACCGGGAAGGGCAGGTAGGGTAGGAAAACAAAAAGCGCCTGCAGCTGGAGCCAAATAGCGAGTGATCATGGCAATCGCCGCCTGTCTGCCCCGGTCCTCGTCGCATCAGCCTGCCACCCTGCAGTAGGTGGAGTGGCTCCCATACGCAGCTCCAACAGGACGGCACTTGCAGCCATTGTGTGCTTTGAGATGTGGTGGTTACGCAGTCGAGGTGACCGTCCGCGTAGGAAGAGCACTGAAATCTCGGCATCGTGGTTCCGCACTGTTTCGGGACGAGTAGGATGGTGTTCGTTATGCCTTGCCACGAGAACCTCAAGAAGCATGAAAGATTACCGTCCTACTGCCTCAAACACGCCACGCAGCGGCAGCGTGGCTCGGCGAACAGTGATTCAATGGACGGATAGGACAGGCAGGGCGCAAGGGAGAGGAAGGGACATGGTATGGATGGATCATGTCTGGGGAATCGGGAGACGGGGGGCATACCTTTGGCTCGCTTGGCTTCCTCGAGAGACTGCGGGACACCGATGAAGGAACATGCGAGGAACATGAAGGGGGCATTGACCTCTAGCGTAGGGGTGAAGCCGCTTCTACCGATGAAGAAGGGCACCGTTGGTGGTTACGGCCAAGTATCCCTAAGCATTCCCGTCCGGTACTTGCAAAGTAGTCAGTCCCACCCACCACAAGCGGCGATGCTGCCTACAACTTTGCTCGTAGCAGTGTACATCAGGCCGGCAGCAACATCGATTGGCAGCCTGTGGTTTGTTTCTCTGATGAGCTTGATCCGTGCCGCCGCATCCTCCTGCTGGAGCTGCGGAACAGTGTAGGTACCGGACTCGCAACTGTCCCCACGCAAAGCAGAGCGGAGCCGAAACGGGATGTGGTTTCCTGAACGAGCTGACACTATCCCGACCGGCGATTATAGTGCCAATGGGGTCAATGTGAATGGATGCCCCGTCCAGGCAGGCGGATAGCTTTCGTGATGATGGATTCCGCCAAGCCCAAAGCTCGTCTGTCAGACCAGAGCATTGCGGTAAGCTGTAGGTAGTGTATTGTTTGTCTTGTCTCTGACTGGAATAGCCAGTGGCGGCTTTTCGTCCATCTTTGCCTGGTCGGCATGTCTCTGATGCCGTGCTGTCACTAGCGAGATGAGACAAGATCATGTCGCAACACACTCGACATCCGACGATTTTGTGTTGCTGGTCCAGTCAGGTCCAGCCGATGATGGATGATCGGCTCGCTGCCATCTTGTCCCGAAATACGATGATTATGACGCTGACCTGGCTGGCGATGCCGATAATGGTGCAGCAAGCACAGTGTTGAGGACGGCCGGTGTGGCAGCCCGCCGTCTGGAGGTGATCATTTTATGGAAGCCTGCGGCTGGGTCATTGCAACGAGAGGTTGGCTCGGTTGGAATCAATCCATCCATGAAAAGTTGTTTTTCAAAAAGTCAGCCGGGAGAAAAGAAAAGTGTCCCCGGCTGTTCCCCCGAAGAAGAGGGGAAGTGGAAGCTTTGGCGGGGCTCTCACTGAACCGCGCCAACAGCTCCCTTGCTAGACTTACCTCTAGTGCATACCACCCACGCAAAGGGACACTAGCTCAATCAGCCGTAGCATAGAGCGAGATTTGTTAGCGTCCTGTTAGCAGTTCCACTGCTCGTGTCCGAGTCTGACCCTTCCAGTTCCATTCCGTTCAGATCCCTTCAACAAAAGGGAAGGAGAACCTCGAGAAGCCCTCACCAAGTTACCTTCCCCACTTGGCGCACTCTTAGCGGGTAGGTGAAAGGTACCGGGAGACTGTAATCGTTAAAAACTCATCATTTCATGCATGGATCAAGTAACATCGACAGTGGTGGAGGTACATTGTTTGCTGCAGGTGTTCCCTTCGATTCCCGAGCTGCAAGGCCAAGAGTTTCCTTCCTTCCATTATTTCCGTCATTCCATCGAGGTGAACAGATCGGCTTCCCTCCTTCCCCAGACACGCGCACAGAGAGGCAAGCACTTGCTGTTACATTACAATGAAAATGACATCCAGGACGCCTGCCTCTAGTGATGTACAAGGCCCTGGAAATGCTGAAGGCAATGTACCTAAGTACCTAGAGGTACTAGTGGATGTATTCGGCTCTTTTTCCATCGATTCCACCTTTTCTCCCCCACAACCCGACGCCAAGTATCGGGACCGCGCGATAACCATTCTTTGTTGAGGTACCTAAAGGTACCTATCTCGACGACATGACTGCGCCATGAAGATACATTCTTCCAGAAAACCATGCCACAACAACGCATATCAGGATGGCCGACAGGTATGTTTGTGTTCAATCACGCTGGACGAGAATGCCTTGCGTCTCAAACCGCCCTTGGATATACCCTAAATGGCGGCAAGACTTGCTTTCTACGCCAGTCAACTCTCCTCCAGTCTGGCACCCAACTGCCTCTTAGATCATCAAATCCCCCTCCCGGCGACGGAGGTGTTCCCGCTGTCAATGACAGTGTCAGAATGCAACTACTAGTGTACTGCGTAGAATGCCGAGGTAGGACGTCTTGCGTCTGGGTTATGTACAATACCGGTAGTCTACCTCACCATGCCCCGCGCGTCTGTTGCTATCAGCTCCGGGCTACCCACAATATTGCCGTGGTACGCTGTAGTGTACACTACGAATGGACGGAATACGCAAAGACCCTGTCCTCGCCGAGGCTCGTCCTCCCTGTCTTAGCCGCTGCCTCGAACGGTGTGCGGTCACGATGCGATGGCAGGATGGGTTAACCTTGCGGAGGGCATGGACATCCGAGGGGCTAATAAAGAAAGACGGGCTCGGCATTGGACGTCCTCACTAGCATCCCAATCTCCTGGGATTTGTGGAAGGCGGAGAGCCTGGATACACTTTGTGTTGCCTTGCCTTGTGCGTGCACAACATCCCGGCTGGGGACGGACGGACAGTCGGACGACAGGCTCAACAAACAGGCAGGGGGGCAATGACTGCCGTCACCCGTGCTGGCACACAGAAGCTGTGTACTGTAGACATCACTCCTCCACCGACCACTACACACACGATGCTCGTGGCAGAGATCAAAGCCGGCGAGAACATGTGCCTCACTCCGGCAGCACCTCTACGGAATACATAGTGTACATACCTCGTCTCGTCTTCGGTTCTTTGATGTACTCGGTCTGGAAGGTCCCTCTCCATCACGGCTACGTAGCCCACAAAGTCGTCACCAATTCGTGTATTCTTAGTGATCATATCGTCCTGTTATCATTAGTGAACAGCAGACCCATTTCGCCTTTTGAAAACTGTGCGAACAACTTGTGTCAAGTCGGCTATAAAACCCGATCAGAGCGGTTCGTCGGTTCTTGGTGGATCAACCCTGGAGTGAAAGAAAGGCGGCAAAAACTGTGTTCCATCTCATCCGCAACAGCCTGGAGAAGAAATGTTTCCGAGACATTGAAGCTTTCAAAAAACCGAACCAAAATGGCACCACCGACGACTACACATGACAAAAGTCTAGGCCCAAAAGCCTGCCTACCAGCGACCAGCTAGCCGTTGTGTTCGTTGCCGCTTCTTCTTCTTCTTCTTCTTCTTCTTCTTTTCCATCCTTCCGAAAAATACAACCATTGTCGCTAACTAGGTACCTATTTGGTCAGGTTGGGTCCCCCAACCAATCTGATATTCGCCTTCCGTTTTTTTTTTTCTTTTTTTTTTTTCTTTTTCCTTTTGTTTCCTGTTTTCTCCTTCTCTTGCGCCGTGGCTTGCCCCATCATGGTTGGGTTCTCCTGCTCAATTCTCCGGTTGGTGCATCCCCAAAGCCGCCGCCGCCGCCGCCGCCGCCTTCTCTTCCTGAATCTTGGCGTCACTAGACTAGCGCAAGCGCCGGAAGGAGGTAAGATGCGGTAGGTCTTGGTTAAGGAAGGCGGATTGGGTTATAGGGAGGTGGGAGTATAAGCGCCATCCATCATCCTTCCATCTTTTCTTTTATATCACCACTACTAGGCACCAGCTTTTTGTCGGACTGGGATTCTGAACATGATATTGATCACCGTCGGAAGACTACGCAGCACGCAGTCAGCCGGTGATGAGTTTTTCTTTCCGGAAATAAAATACCAGGGCTTGTTTTCCTGGTAGTTTTACTCAGGGAGTGAGTCCATCAGCGCGAGATGTTCAACCGATCGATCAACGGCGCCGCCGCCGGAACCGGGTTCCAGTTTCCTGTCACTAGTGTACATTATCATTACCGTACCTATCGTCACCAATCTGGTCGTGGGCGGAGTTCCAGTCGTAGGGCAGTACACTACACGTGTACCAGACTGCCTATGTACTGTGTAAACAACTGCCGGGCGGAGCCTAGAGAACTTGGGGGTTGGTTGATCTTTGATCTTCAAAGCTTGGACTCTATCGGAAGTTTTGAGGTGGCAGGCTCAGCCAGGTATGTACCTCTAGGGTTGAAAAGGCGGAGACGCTTGTTTGCATATCCGAGCTTTCCACGGCAATGACTTCCTACTGAATTTGTGTACCGGACAGACAGTTATGTAATGGATCCACATGAATGGAATTCTAGTCAGTTAATTAGCAACAGGAACCCCGAGCAGTACATCCAACTATGTAAGGTACCATCTCTTCTTCTTTTTTTTTTTTTTTTTTTTTTTTTTCTAATATCGTCGAGTTACCTACCACCTGTACTTTCTTTGCAACCCAATAACTACTGGCCGAGAGACTCAACATATCTCTTTCCTCGTTGCACAACAACGAGAAGTCCTGGAAGCTAAAACCAGCCGGAGATCTCCTTTGCAATTTCCGCCAGGACTCCCTCAGACCTAGAGTGTCGCATTCTGCATGATACTATCTGCTTGAAATGTGGTTGGAAGAGAAAAGAAAAATACCGGCACCGTTTCAAGAAATCAAAAGAACTGCACTAACAGTTTTAGCTATGTTTTCCTAAACTAATAAGGTAGCACTGCCGAGTCCGAGGGAGCCTCATCGCACACCAAAGTGCCGAGGATCAAGTGCGAGGGATTGGGGGGTCATCCAGTTTCACGGGGCTTTACTGAACGTCCCTGAGAACGCCTGAGAACGTGATACGTAAAAGGGCCGTGATCTAGTACATAGGTAGGTAGAGGCAATCTATGTCCGCCGCGGGTGATAACGTAATAGATTTTGCTAGTGTTTGACCGGTATTGTTTTGGCGCGCTTAGCACACACAGGAGCCACACCACATACCCATACGACCTAGAGGTAGGCTAATGAGGCTAGTTTCTACACTAGATAGTGTACAGAAGTATGTAGAGGTTGGCAACCGCCTGGTGAAAAGTACGAGCAGTTCGTCAAGACTAACCTAGGATGCTGTGTGCTCCGTGGGAGCATGTAAACTTTGTCTCGCAGAGCTTGTGAGCCCCCTTAGACTCCGTCGTTTGCCAGTTCTGGGATTCTTCGCAACATTATTCCTTCTAAGGCTCTGAGCTATGATAGAAAGTTACCTTCGCTGTTATCAAACAATTTCTGAGAGTGAAGTCACGTCTCGGACTTGACTTTCGTCGGTTTAGATTGTAGAGGAAGGCATTTTCAGTCACTAATCAGTAAACCTTACCATCTGTACGCCTCATTCTTATTCTCGTCTTCATGCCTTGCTTTCAACATGTCTCTCCCTTCCTCCCGGAAGCATACCTTGGAAAAGAACATTAATGGTGCAAGCAGAGTAGAGATGTGTACCTACCCTCTGTAGCACAATCACTTCACCTACATGCCTCGACAGCAAGGGTAAAAAGCGCGAGGCAAATAAGTACCTACCTATCGTATCATGCCTCTTCTGCTTTGCCTTCTCGTATGGAAGGCATGAGGTCTCCATATTGTTGTGCCGCTGATGAACAGGGAGCACTGAAGGTGGATATGCATAGAGTTAGCAAACATCAACAAGACATGGGAATAGTGGTTAAGAGAGGTTGGGTACTCGAACGCAAACACTCAAATATTGAGAAGTGTTTTCTTTGTTGTGAACTTGGTAATTAAATGTTAACCTGATGCTACAGAAAATAGTATATGATACTGTAGAGAAGCTTATCAAAAGGCAGCCTATCTCGAGTAGTAACATGTCTAGATGTGATGTCAGTCTAACTGTGTAGAATCTCAAGGTGACTTAGCAGAAAGTAGGTACCTACCTACCTGTTAACACCGCATACAGGCACTTACATACAACTATGCAACAGCAACAAGCACGATCCCAGAACTTCAAAACGCAAGCAGTCTCATCCGGTCTCATTCTCTCCACTCGTCGAGTCCCTATGTCGTGCGACATGACCACTTCGGAACTTTCTTCGAGACATGCCGATGGTGGGTAACACCTTCAAGTTTTGGAGTTGGACTGTACCTACAGCACTGTGTGCCAAGTCTCATAGGCTGACAGCGGTATGTACGTAGCCTTTGCGGCTCGCAGTTAGCTAGGTAGCAAAGCAAGTCAGCAGGCAAGATCCGATCCCTACCTTACCTAGGTACAGAATTTTGCGTACCCCATGCTTCGTTATAGCTGCTGCTGCTGCATATTTCTCTATGAAGAGTGATATGTAATTTCCGGATGTGCATTTGATGGGGCCACTGTGGCATCCCTCGTTTACTTTTTGTTGCGGACGGGATGCAATGGTTGGGAAGGACTTCAAAGTTTGCCGAGTAAAATATGGTAGCGAGGCTCTTGGAAGTAAGAAAAAAGAAGGTGCCTATGCCGAGGAAGGGAGTTAGGGATGGGATGTGAAGGTTGGTCCAGTTGTAGGCAATTTGAAAACGAACTGAGGTGTCATTGTGTGTACGTTTTGACCTCTTGATTGTTTCGCATAATCTCATGTTGGCTTTGTTGGCTTGACACTCACACGGTACAGGAGGCACATGAGGTTACGTACCTGTTTTCAATGTCAGCTTTGTACCCCTTCATTTTCGTTCCTAGACGGATGCCCACAGCTACCCCATATTCATAATGTTGCTTTCGGAATGAGGACACTCCCAAGTTCCTCACCCGACTTAGGACAAGTGGAGCGTATGCTACACTTATCATAAGAACAAATCAATATCAATCCAGATTTCAAGCGCCGATACCATACAGATGAATGCTGGTTTGTTTGTTAGCTCGAGACCTGCGACCTCCAAGGGAAAAGACAAGGGATTCTGGTGCCCCCATTGATCCAAACAATCCCAAAGTCAGGGTCAAGAACAATAATCGATCGTGTATCACGCACATACACCAGAACTTACTCCATTTACAGCGGGCAATAGCCGACTGGTTGCTGTTCAGGCCAGCAGCCCCGCCTAGTTATCCTGAAAATGGTAAAAGAGTCCCCTGCAAGTGTGTATACCACACTAACGAACAAACCGAGGATGAACTGTAATGGAGTCGAGCAAGGATTGGGCTGGCTTGCTGGATGGACTCATGAGGGTACGGTCGTAGAAAGCCGAAAAGCGAGTCTGTCAAAAGCGGCTTGTTGTCAGCATGTGGTCAGCATCATCGTCAGGAATGGTGCTATTGACTAGGATCAGCTGGTTGAAATCATATGGATCTCAATTTGAACTCTCACGCGGCAACTAGGTGCCGGATAATCAGTTGGACAAGGGATGCCAAGTGAATGAGGAGCTCCCCCAGAAGACGAGGCAGGATCGGGATTAGCGTACACACTGAATTTGGGGCCGCCAAGCACTGTACGTTATGCCGCTGTGACGGACTGACGGTGGTAGCCTGGTGATGTTGAAAACAACACCACAATATGTAGCACCTAGTGGTTCTGAAGTCATAGTATCAAGTGGCTGTCACTTACAGATAGGTAGTCTATCGAGGACATTCTTCGTTTGCAATATTTGTGGGGTGATGTGACGTCCTCACCCGGAAGGTCATAAATTGAGCCAAGGAAGAGGATGTTTAAAATGTCACAAGACAACCTTTCTAGACTTCCCAAGGTGCCATCCACCGTACCCTTCCTATGCATGGGTCTGTTAGAGCTCGACGTTTGGAAGAAGTGGCTTACTGACTGATTTTCCACTCTGGAAATGTGCATTCTGAAGCCACAGTGGCTACCAAGTTAATCAACCTCGGACAAGGCTCGACTGTGTAAAGGCATCGCTTTGCTGTTATGAGCAGGGAGTACCGCTAAGATCGCCATAGCGTGGTATTTGACGCAATAACCAACCCTTCGGGTCTTGCTCGCGCACAAAAACATAATCAGGCAGCGAGCTAATGGCCCCCTTTGCCCCTCATCTTCGGATCCGGAATTATTCTGGAAGGTCGTTTTTGTCAATCAAAAAATGCAGGCAACTTCCTCCGCCAACACTAGTGATAACCACACCTGTGGAAAGCGCATCACAGTACAGGTCGGTCTGAGATTTTCTGGACGTGAACACCCTCCTGTAGAACAGACAACTTGGCGGTCATCATTCATTCCCAATGCTGTTAGCTTCCGAATATCCTGTCGATGAGAGCATGGACGTGGGATGGCGCATGATTTCCCTTTCAGGCTTGAGTTCCGGACCAAGCATGAGATGACCCTAGACCCTGACAGTGCTCTGCACCCCCTGAAAGAGCCTCTTGCAAAGTCAGTATACTATGTAGATACAAGAAATACTGAGAAACACATGAAAACAGAGTACTGACCATAGGAATCTATTTTTTCTCAAGACTGCGCACGAGACTGGCAACAGACATTAGGTTCTTTCTGTCTTCTCTTCTGGGACAGCGAATGAGACACCATCGATGTGCTGCGCTATGCCATTATTCGGGGTCCAGGGCGGGGCGTGGGGCCCGGAAAGCCGGCCGGTTGTTCCATGCGCTAACTTCATGTTGAAGGCTGTACTGTGTGAGCCGTACTATGGTAACTGTTGGAGGAAATGCTGTCCGACACTTGAGCATTGCCGGATTTGTCCAGTTCCTCACACGATACCCATGACATTACATCTGCTGCGTGCCCTGTTAGTCGAGTTGAGATGCTAAACGAGTGAATAACCAGAGAAGAGGCTGTCCCGACAACGAGTTGTTGTACGTACAAGACACCGTTGACTGAAATATCGTGCGCTGAGCTATTTTTAGGATGTCGAATTGAGTGTCTCTATCTCACCGTCGCACTGATTGTGAGGACAATCTTCTGGGACATGTGTGTAACCGCCCTGGCCCAATCGAGACCAATGCTGTCGAGTGGTTGCGAGCGGCACGCAGTGGCACGGAAATGACAACTCTATTGCTCCCTTGGTACTAAATCAATGTAGACGCAGCCGCCCGAACAAAAATTTGGAAGGCTGTCAGGTCTTGCGGCTCAAGATCCTGGTTTCCGACTAGCAATATCTGCATTTGACGGCAGTTAGCCTGTTTGAGAGGCCGCGAGATTCGTATTGTATGCATAAGAGCATTAACTGACGAGAAAGTAACCTTTGGCGGCCCAGGACCCAGGTTCCTTTTCTCAAAGTCTCGGCATGATTTCCATTGGATTGTTGAATGGGAGGTTCACATTTGCTGCCCGGCATGCCTCTCCGTGACAATGGTCCCAGCTCACGGCGTCCCTGCTATACTTGCCGGGTCTCAAGTCCGTTCGATCCTAACTTGCCCATACTGACAGACTTGGGAAAGCTGGGTATGTCCTTCTTGTCGTCTAGCCATTGCACTCAGCCGAGTTTGGATACGTACGAAAGGAGGAAATAACCATGTGGGCAAGCATACTCCTACGCCGGACGTGGAAGTAAACTTGCAGAAGCTATATCATTAGATATGCAATGATTTGCGGGCCGTTGGCCAGCGGTATATACGCAGTGCTTTTCGAGGTTGAGCTTAGAGGTACTCTCGCTCTTCTTTGTAGGGCCTTCGGCAATGCTGAGACCTCGTTCGGCGTGTGCTTAGAGAGACCACGCGAGACATGGTTGGAGTGGAAATCGTGCTCATTGCGAGACTCTCATGCAACATGGTCCTAACAGGTAGCATCAGAGGTGTGTGAGCCTTTTGCCGCAACTGGCCTGGTGAGAATAAAGATCCGGCCTGCATGTCATGGCTTTCAGCTGAAACGGACACATACATGTCTGTATGTACCTCGATAACTGATGGTGTCACCAGTTGGCGCTTTGAACATCTTCTATCATCCTCAGAATAACTTTATCGAGGATGGAGACAATTACAGTGGTATCAAGCGTAGGGGACAACAAACGCCAGGTTCACCAGACTGAGGATTGTGGCCTTTGCACGCGGCCACTTCGACCAAGTTGTTGTGAGATCGGTTTCGCGGAACTCGAAAAGAGCTGAAAATAAACACCAATCGCTTCAATCTTCCCTAGCCTCTTCGGTACTGCTCTCCCACCACGACCCGTAGCGTGGCGCACTGTGGGGGATGGGTTGGCAGGAAGTTTAACCGCTAAACCCCATGTAGAATCGTGACTGAGCGGAAGACTTTAGCATCCTAGATCCTGAGTTTATTGAGGGTCCTTTGGGACCGAGGTTGTCTACTTCGATGGGACCAAATAGCATGACAGAAACCTCCACATATGTTCACCCTGGAGATCTGGTTTGGGCGATGGAGCACCTGAATGTTTAAAAAATCAACGGAGTTTGAGTTGTGCGATGTGAGCGTATCGATTTTGTTCCTGCGAGTGGGAATGCCTTGTGTGCAACTCCGTCTGAACGGGTTGAAAGTAGCGAAAGCGGTCCTTGGCGCGCGACCCGGTACACCGAAGCGCCGAGTGCACTCCGAATGTCACGTTAGCTTCGCCGACAGGGTGTTCAGGAGGCTATTAACAACTAACCTTTGACCGCTGTTGATTTCGCTAACTGCCATATTCGCCTCCTCGACGTTCCAAACTCACGATATGGTAGCTCAGTATAGCATCTCCTAGGACGATGTGCATAGCGATGCCCTGAGATGAGGTTAGGCCTTAGATCTAACTTTAAGACTCGAAAGAGAAGCTGGATGCTCTCTGACTATGGGCCCGCACAGTCGTCTCCGTTCAGTGATGAATCGAGCTCCAGCAACACTAGCTACCGGACGGTACTTACTGCACCAACGGTACGTAGTTTGATCAGATCGTCGCCTGCAGCGGGAGATGCTGGTTTAGAGGTGGAAACTGGAGAGAAGAGGGAGATGGCTTTCGACACCCTCATAATTTTTCCGTTCGCGTAAACCTTCTGAGTATGGTATGTGTATGTAGTAATCTGGTTTACTGTGCTTCTCTGGTGGTGAAGTTGTATGCAGCTATAGCGTTGTTTGGTGCACCTGGATGGACTTCGCTGACCCCGGGTTTTCCAAGAGAGACAGACCAACCAGGAATGGAGGCTGCTGTTCCGCGCTGCGGCATTGCTTAGAGCGCGGAATTTCATCCGACTGAACCACGCAAGCCGCAGATCGTCCGTATGGTAGCGGTTCGCCATGTGAAGGGGTGCACCCGAAGCAAAAGTTTGTCGTCAAGGGACCCATCAGTTGGTGGAATGAAGAGTTTTTTTCGCTGGACAACAGCCACTTATATTGTGAGTCCTTCTGGCAACACGGGAGCAGCGACGCCTGTCCCGTTGGCACATCGCAAAGACGGATCAGTGTTTATTGGGCGCTGATTAGCTGCAAAGAGATGTTATGTTAGCACAGTCTCCCATGTACACAAGAATAGGTAAGAAAGTTGGCTAACTCGAACGTATTCTTAACTTGCGCGATACCCCGAAGCTGACCGTCGATGGTGACTCGATATATGGCACGAGTTTAGCTTTGTTTGATAAGACATAATTGAGGGGATGGATCAGAGCACATGTGCTACCTGGTGCTGACTATGGTCCTCAGGACGTAGCGGAAGGTAGAGATGCTCCTCTTTTGCCAGGAAAAAAAGGTCGTCTAGGCCAAAGGTGACGGTTCAAACCCTCCATCGGGACGGATGGTGAGGCTGTCAACGAAGGAAGAGATTCTGAGCAAGATTGAGGTTATGTTGTAGGTACTTAAAAGTTCGGATTAGACACCGGTTTTAAGGATGTTGGTATCGGTAAACTCGTTGGGTCGCCGACTGCCGTGAAGAGACGGAACCACTGCAACTCCAAAGCCGTCACGTTCATCCTGTGGCAGTGCTGCAGCCAGCAAATACGACGGGAACACTTCCTTCCATTGCTGCATGATTTGCTCCTTCCCGCACAACCTACGAACACAACTACTACCTATCGTAACTGTCCTGCCAGCTGGCATGCAGTTGCCGCCACGGAACTGTAACCAAACTCTCTTCTCCCGTCAATGCTCGAACTCCCAACTCCAAAAGCTTGACTTCACCACACCAGCAAAATCGCAAAATCACCAACACAATAAGTGCCGACTGGCACCCTAAACACGACTATGCGCATCACATAACCAGGCTGGCAAGCTACTTGCAGTCAGCACAGTGCATCAACTCATGACAGGCGCTTTTGATGTTCTCATTGGACAGCCCTGAGGTCCCTGATGGCCCTAATGGCAAGCGACCATTTAGCGAAGCTTTCCTAGTGGTCCGTCAACGTAGCACCCCATCGTGGTCGGCCACATCGCGACTCAAGGCTAATTTTGAGGGTGCTTTTGCGCTTAACTAAGCGCCGAAAGAAGATGAACATGTCTTATAGGCGGCTATCAACATTGTCAACCGGAGCGAAACGCCATAGACATGGCTTGGGGATGGAGACAACAAGGCTTACTTATACGTTGTAGTTAGCTCTGCGGTAAGGCATCGGGTGTCATGCGACTTGGAATTGACTTGGTTCTTGTTTCTCTATCATCTTGTGTATTTCACGAGCCCGTTAGCGGGTGTTGGCCAGCGATTCGAACGAAGCACGGCAATATGGCAGTGGATGGATTTACCATGATGAAGCAGGCCTCAGAGCTGTCAGGTGGTAAGAAAATCCAGGCTTATATACGAACTTGTGGACTTTTACTTACTTTTTAGGAGGATGGAAACCTATCACAATGCAAGCACCCGTCTTGACATCAGTCATCATCCTTACACTCACACTGGCCGGTGCGATCGAATACTTGGCCCAAAAGAGCCAGAAGAAAGGTGGATTGGCACTCTCGGAGTGCTCTGATTGCCATTCTGGGGTTGTGACCTTTGGTTACCTTTATGCACCTACAGTCATTTCTGTTCTTTACAGCTTGTTATGGTCTTGGATAGATCTGGACATACGACGGATTCAGCCATGGCTAGAGCTATCTCGTCCGGAAGGTGCCACAGCGGATTCTTCACTTCTTTTGGACTATCCAAATACGTTTCTTGCCTTCATACCATTCTCGGCGTGGAAAAGGGGGTAGGTCACTTCTGTATCGTGATCTAATTTTCACAAATGGAAGCTAACAACATCGAGCAGACACTGGCCTGTCTTCTTCTCTGGGACTGCTTCTGTAATACTTTTCTGGGCAATCACACCCCTTCAAAGCTCGATTATGGGCATGAAGCCAGTGACATTTACTGATAACATTACGGTATCCTCACACTTAACTCTTCCATCGCCTAATGACCAGGCGATGATGTTAGACACAACGGTTATGCATACAGCCTATGGTATGGCATGGCTCGAGCAAGCCCCCCCGGCGTTCACGACCTCTGACTATGCTGTCATGCCGTTTTCTAGTCAGGCTACGAGTATGCACTACCGACCGGGCGAAAATTTGACCGCCGCCACTGAAATGCTTACCACGGAAATGAATTGCTGGCAGCCATTGACAACTAAACTACCGCCGGCAAGCACCTACTCATTCGACAATGGTCATGGCTGCGCTGTCAACGTCAGTTTTTTCCAGGCCCATCCCTATAACAATGATACTTCCATCATCCTCTACATCGGCTATCACGGAAGTCCAATCCTCGACTATTACCTTGAGAGTCCGCTTTGCAGCAAAAACTCAACCAACCAATTCCTCACCATCTTTGCCTCGAGGCACATGGATGAAAAACTCGGCAGCTACGAAACGAACATGACGGCTTTATTTTGCGAAACCTCGTATTACAAACAGCTTGTGTCTGTCACAGTTTCTGCAGAGTCGGGCCGTCCTCTAAATGAGTCATTAGTTCCGATTGGAGTAAAGGAACATCTCACACAGGATGAATTCAATTCCACGGCATTCTCATACCTTACGGGTGTGGGAATGCCTCCTGATACTCCTACCGCCACACGCGACTTTCCAGCGGCTACCACATTTGAGCCCTGGGGTAGTCTTAGCAAGGAAAATGTCGCCGGACCAACGATGCCAATGGTCAATCTTGCCCTAGGCCTTTCAGGCGAGCTTGCATCTAACTTCCAGCATGCTCCGGTTATGGAGCGTGCTTTTACCCTAGCTCACAAAACAGTATTCTCTGCCGCAATCTCACATCTTGCTTCCGAAGCCCGAGAGAATAAACAGGCAGACGGTACGAGCAGCTACATCCTATATGGGGTTGTAGTTAGTAGAACAATCTCGGCTGTTCTCGAGTGTCTGTTGGCCCTGCTCGTCTTTCTCATGGGGGGCGTATTGTACACTTGTATGAAGGCAAAGAGCAACCTCGTATCCGATCCTGCAACGATCGGATTTGCCTTCAGATCCGTGAGAGCCAGCCGAGCTGTCCTCAATCGGCTGGCAATGGAGGATTGCTCCGACAACGGGACACTTCAGAGAAATCTTGCTGGAGAACAATTTTTCCTCGAACAGGGAACAACGGGCAATGTTCTCGAGATTGAATCCAAGGCCGACGACGGTGTCAACATGGCTGACCGAAGGCAGAATGTTCAGTATGATCCTGTTCGGCCCAAAGAGTCACACCCTCTTACGGGATGTTTGCTTATTGCTGTACTTCTTGCCGGAGCTGGGGTCCTGATTTACTTTAAAAAGATGGAGCTGAAGTTACAAGGTGATAGACACGTTCGCCCGCATTATACAGCGACGAGCTAACAGACATTCCAGGACTACCACGACCAAGCGAGAATTTTGAAGTTCTACAACTACTAGAGAACTACATTCCGACGGCCCTCACAACACTCTTGGACCCGTTTCTTGTTCTTTTGACAAGATTATTCTGCATGCTGCAACCGTTCAATATCCTGCGCAAAGGAAAATGCAACCCGCAGCACACTCTGGAGACCAAGTACACGTCACTGCCACCTCAGCTGGTCTTGTGGCGGGCCGTACGATCCCGAGACTTCTTACTCAGCACTCTTTGCTTGATGGCCCTTCTTGTTAATGTCCTCACTGTTGCACTTGGTGGTACATTTAATGAGTTGCCGGTGCAGCTTCAGTATCCCACGACCTTTGCGGAAGCTCGAACGACTACTCTCAGCCGTGACACATTACTAGACACCACCTACATGATCCGCTACGTTTACCACGACCACTATTACGCTGCATCCACAAATATTTCTCACAACACCACACTACCGCCCTGGGTCTCGACCAAGTACACGTTCCTCCCAGTCAACATAACCTCCGAGTCACCGAGGTCACCAGATTCGTATCGGGCTACACTACGAGGCTTTGGAGTTGAGCCTAAATGTGAAGCTATGGCAACATCGCCTTCTTCAACCTCCAGGTCCTTTGCAAACGTCACCCACCTGATCAATGGTTTTACTATCGAAGGCACTACGTTCAACTTTCGCCGCGATGATGGCACCTGGCAAACGTGCGAACCCACAGACCTTAATGTGGGATCCAACACCACGGGACTGGGCGCTCGAGAAGTCATCACGCCACTCACAATCCCAACGGATCAGAGTGGCAGCGCAGCCTCTGAAGACCACATTTGTGAGGACCGCTTTGTGGCTGGCTGGATCCGCATGGACACCAAAGACCCAGCGAATACATTCCGATCAACCTTCCTGTCATGTCAGGCAGTACTCCGTACAGCCACATTTGACGTCGATTTCGATAAGGCGGGGCATATTCTTGCCTACACGCAGAGAGGAGACTTTGACGATATCACATCCTTAATGTCTCGAAACATGTCCCAGAGACTGGTTAGGCAGGCAAACAAGCTCGTCAACAACAGTGGAAGGCCCTTTGCGATCTATGCATGGCACAACACGACTCTGGTCTCAGACTGGTGGAACTATCTCATGAAGATGTCCCTCAACAGCACTGATCTGGTTGATCCCCGCTTGGATATCCCCAAGCCTGAAGCCGTGATTCCCACTGTGGAGGACTTGTATCGGAGATTGTTCGCGATCGTGCTCGGGAAAAACCTCGACTTGTTCGAAGAGCCAGCCAAGCCAACGGACATGCCTGGCATCGCCATCATTACTGAGACGCGCATCTTCTTAGACGACACAGCATATCTCTTGAGCGTTATCATTCTCTGCGCCAACGCAGCTGTATTGATGTGGGCCTACCTCGCGCAGAGCGATGCGTATTTGCCCCGCTTGCCGTCGACACTGGGATCTGTGCTTGCGTACGGGGCAGCTAGTCGAGCAATCAGAGAATACGGAGATGGTATCAATACCGACCAGGAGATCTGGCATAATGAGGACTTTTATGGGACGTACTCGTTTGGGAAGTACGTAGGCGTCGATGGTAACGCTCATGTTGGCATCGAGATGGATCCCTTTGTAACACCAATTAACGGAACCATGCTAAAGCGCCGAGCATCTGCGAGGTTATGGTTTAGGAAGAAGGCGGAAGAGCCACACGACTGATTCTTTTTTTATTTCTTTCCTTTTCTTCTTTTTCTTTTTGTTTGTGGGGGGGGGGGGGTTCATTTCCTGGTTTTCTTTGAATTGTTAGACATCGTTTTTGATACCCAAAACAGCGTCAGGTCTTCAAACCAATCTGCAATAATACGTTCTCGAGATTGCGTTTCAATAGTATCTCTAACTGATGGGTAATGGATCGGGATGTTCCCTCCCCATATATCTCTAGCCTCTTGAAATCGTCGAAAGAACTCACACGGCAGCAGCTACCGTAGCGGGTTTATCAGGATCGCAGTCTGTAAGTGATGATAGAAGGTCAGCAACGTACGTGAACTTGGCCCCCAATGAGTTCTGGGCTCACACGTCCACAAGCATACCGCCTCACCCATCGCATCCCTCCAATGCCCCCCCCCCCCCCCCCCCCCCCCCCCCCCCCCTTCTTTTTAAACCTCAGCTGCACCATACTCACTCACCTGCAAAGATATGATCGCCCCTCGTCCACAACTTCAGCTTATCCCTCTTAAACTCCTCAAAATCCCACTCCTTCTGCTCCAGATGTTGCTCGAGCAGGAACACGTAAACCTGCGCCTCCTTCTCCTCTCCTTCGACGTTGCCCTCACCATGCACGTCGCCCACCTTTTCTAGCAGCTTCACTTTCACCGTCCGGCGCTCATACTCGGCTCCCTCAAAGTAATCCAGCTTGTCCAGGTTTGCCTTGGTCAAACCCTCCGCGAACATACCAAACACGGTATGCTCGGCGTCTTCGGTGATACCGGGGTAGTCAGCGAACTTGACGCGGCGGCGGATGTAGCCGTGAAGGATGGCGGGTGTGAACTTGTGCTGGCGGGCGATGATGTCGGGCACGGTTTTGTTGTTGTAGCAGACTGTGTTGAAGACTTCGGGGACCATGAGTGTTCCTGGTATACTGGTTAAATTATGGCAATATGGCTAAGGTCACATTCGGGATTTGGACGTCAAAGAGAATGGTGCTATCCGATGGTGACTCACCGTAGAAGAAGGCGCAATGCACCGGGTCATCGCTTTGAGCAGATGCCTGTTCTTGGTTCGCCATTTTGGAGGAGCTGATGTCTTTTGGTGGTGAATATCAGCTGTTTTGTGTTTTCAACGAAACGATTTACATGGACTGGATAAAGAGCGAGATAAATGAAGTGCAGTGATAAAAGAAGTCAGACACTGACGATAACGGTGAGGTAATTGCTGATATAACCGACATTTGCCCCTCACTCAACACAAAAAGTTCAACAAGAGACTACTCACCACGTGTGATTCTTACAGATGGTGATGGTTTAATTTTACGAAGAAACCCACTTGCACCGGTTGATCAGATGTTTCCTACGTCTATCTTGGAATGACTGGAGCCAGAAGTTCGCTGATTCACGTCGCCACTTCTTAATGTTATAGCAAACTATGTCCGTCGTGCATCAACTTTGCAATATGCTTCCAAAAGTTAGAGGCCAGGATGAGATGAACTGTTTGACAATCCGAAAACCTCGTTCAAGGCCTCAGTGGGTTCGTAGAGGAGGAATGGTTTTGACAGCCGAGGTCGATAACAGATTCAAAGGAGAAGAGCAGGCCTGGAGGGGTAATGGAAGTTGGTTCCGGTTCGGAGCCCGGACAGATGGTAACCTGTGCACGGACCAGGCTCGCCAGGTACCTCACCCCGCAGTCTCATCCCCTGATGGTGCCAACCCGACAACGTGCCACGGGCCCGGGCGGAGCGTCGTACAGGCAGTTTCCTACTTCCGCCGCAATACAACTCTTCAAAATTACCATTATAATCCAAGCCAACCTCATTGTCAGCAATTCGCATATCTCAAATCATACGGGAGTGTCTCAGTTGGGGATATGGCGCGAAATCCGGCGTTGTAAATCTCTTCAAACACAGCCTCACATAAAACCCCTAGAAAACATCAGCACCATGGCAAAGCGCTTCGAACGAGCACAACCAATATCTGACTAGAAGGATAGGTATGGATATGCAATGATCTCTCACAACTCCCGCCGAGTCGGCCCCGATTATTACGCGCCGTGTTGAAGCGTAGACTTATTCGCTCAGCCACTCGCAGGCTCTTACATACGTTCCTTTCTTTCAGTGCGTGAGGTACCACTGCTCCCACCACCCCACACTACAGTAATACCCCAAGCTACCTACTATTAATCGTGACGTCTCAAAATCCCTCACAAAGAAACGCGATAATCCTACTGTCACACACTTAGTCACCCTATTCAGACCCGCAGCTGCGCAGGTACCTCTGCCGGCACCAAACTTGTTAGCGCGGTGGTTTGCAAGTAGCAAGAGCTCGGATTTCGTGTTTAATGACCTTTAGAACTCTAAATTCTGTCAAGTGGCAGTACCGCGGCCACGCGTGGATCGGGGAGCACCCACCGGAAGAAGCAAAACAAAAAAAAAAAAAAAAAAAAAAAAAAAAAAAAAAAAAAAAAAAAAAAAAAAAAAAAAAAAAAAAAAAAAAAAACCTACCTGGGGAATGAGGAGCAGAATCTGTAATTAGAGACTACCAAAGCGTCCGGGTTGGTCGTCATGTAGCAAGTAATTGGTGAGAGTGTGGATGAGATGGCGAGCGCGTTGAATATATGTGAGATGCTAAGAGTTTGCATTTACATGTGCACTAGAGACCGCTCATGGTCAATTCCAACCGGGACATAATGGAATGGCTTTCGCTCGTGGGATGTTGAATTCCACTTGGTCGAGGCACTCCCGTTCGAGTGACCGTGCTGTGGTGTTTAGTGTACGGCGCCATCGATGAAACCAGTCCCTGTTGTTGTTTCATCCTTGAGGCATCCATGGACCAGTCAACAGCTCAGGGGCGCCCTGATCCGGAGCATCGGCGTACGATGCCCTGTATCTGACAGGGACAGCGATGCTACAGCAGCCACACGGCGAGGTACGTACCGTTCCCGACCATCCAATGTTGTACTGCAATTCTGGGGATACAAAGGTGGTAGCCAAGGGTCTCGCCAGCAATACGGAACTTGACAGCTTCCATTGACAACGAATATTCCTACACAAAAATGGTCACATTGAATATCACTCTTCATTGGGCGCATTGTAGCTTTGGTCATTTTCCCATGCCGAGAAAAGATTGTAGAAGGAGTTGGCGACCTGACTTCCCATGTCAATGCCATTGTGCGACCCCTTTTAGCTGATTACGCATATCTTTGGAGCGGCGCGATTGGCTCTCGCGGTGGAATAATGGACGACGCATATACCACTGAAAGATAAAATGTGGCAGAAGCTTGCAAGTCTCACTGGCTGCGATGGATGACTGGTGAGGGAGGCGGAAGGCTTTCAGCCTCTAGTAAAACCTGGAATGGCTTTGCGGCACGTTACACATATCTCGCATCTCGGCTGTCACGAAGCCGGTTGGTTCGCTCCCGGAAATAGGAAAGAAAGACTAGTACTGATTCGATTTGATAGCCTTCATCCTTCTTGGGTGTATCGGAGATTTGGTAACTACATTCCATCCACACAACATCTAGTCTCAGTCGCTCAGCCACCTCCGATGGCCTATGCGTCTCTTCGGACCCACAGGGCCAAATGGTTGTGACATCCGGCCCACCACCCTCACCCACCTACCAATCCGGACATCACACCATTTAGCCCTGTGGGTCCAAAACGATGCGGCTATACTCCGGTCTGAGCCTAATATAGATGAAATAGTTTATTATACGCAAACCTCCAAATTTCCCTAAATTTCCCTAAATATCATAATCCCAAAACGAATAATACGTACGCTAAATTATACTTAGTACTAATATATTTATTAATACTATCTTCTCCTACCCTTCCTAATTTTAATAATATATTTATATCCTACCAACTATATTTAGTAGCCCAACTAACATTTACTCTTTTATTTCCTCTACCTTTATTCTAATTATAAAATTCCTATTATCCGGAGGAACTATATAATAAATTGTTTAATAAAGCTCCTTCTTAATATTTATTAAAATTCTTTAACTAACTTACAGACGAAATCTATTTTAAAAATATATTTACTATAAATATATTTATAGTAGATATTAATATTAATACGGAAATTGAAAATATTTAGTATTTATTTAATAGTATTTATTAATACATTAGAATTAACTATCGAATAAGTTTATTATATTACTTTATTTATTTATATATTTACTGGGGGACAAATATTTCCTAATAATATAGTAAATATTTAAAAACGTTTATTAATACACTTTAATACTTTAAAGTGCGTAAAGTCCTTACGGATGCTAACGTTTATATATACTTTAAAAAGGATAAAATTAAATACCAATTAGAAAGGGAGGAAACCTAACCTAAATCGGACGAATATCCAACCCAACCCCTAATTAAATATATACTTCAAATATATTTTAATAAAACCCTCTATACAGAATTCAGATTTCTCTTAGGTAAACCGGTATTCTATACCTTTCCTACCAACAAGTTCGTTAGAATTAGTAATATAGCCTACCCTATTATTATTAAGGATATATTTAATATTTTGTAGATTTATTCTCGCTTCTGTTCTATTTATAATATTATGTCCGAAATTATATTAAAATTAATAGAATTACTTATTACATTATATATATAATAGTATACCTATTAAGATTCGTACGAATCGAAGGATAGTATTTGGAAAAAAAGAAAAATCCGTAATTACGTAATTATAATAGCGTTTATCATTATGAATTTATACATACTTCAAAATAGTATATTTATTCTAAAGTTATTTAGTATTTACTTTAAGAGTAGCTTTGTATAGTTGTGTGTATATAATATTTTAGTTCGGTTTAGTGTAATTTTTTTACATAAAATTATTTTATAAACTATTAACTATTTTATTAATATTTTTATAATATGTAATTTAATACTTAAATCCTATAGGGGGATTCTAAGAGTCCCCCTATAGGATTTAAACGTTTATATTCTTATTACTATTTTATATATTTATACAATTATAGGCAAATTTTAAATTGGTTAGCCGTAACCTAAGTATAGTTATTATTTATAATAATTTCAATTTTATTAATTATATACAAAGTCTTAGAATTAACCGGAAAAACATAATATAAAACCTTACTACTTATCTCCTTATTAGTAATTCCGATATTAACGGGCCGTTTAAACTATCCTAGTAACGCCCCTATATTAAATTCTAATTAGAATGGCTTTTTATATATTTGAGTGTAATGCCGCTATCCTTCGATAGTACGGCCTACTATTTTATTAAAAATCGATTAGTTTTTATAGTCGGGTAGAAATTATAATAGTCTATTCTTTACTTCCCGGTTATTAAATAACCGAAAACTACCGAAAATTATATCCTATAAACCCTTACTATTATAAAGGATAAAGGTAAAATTTCCGGTATTTATTAATTTTATAATAAGTTCTTCCTTAATATCCTTAAATTTAATATAAATAACTTCGGGGACTAATTTATCCTCGTTTACGGCAATTAAAAAATAATATTCTTTATTCGCTATATTATTCTTAATTAATTCGAAGTAGGCTACGTATATAATCGCAAATAGTAGATCCTTATTATACCTACGTTCTTTTATATCCTTATAAATTACGTTAATATAATATTTTGGGTTTTCTAGCCTCTCGTAGTATAAAATATATAGGGCTTTAGAAGAAGCAAGAGGGTAAAATAGTACAATACTATATTCTATAATAGTTAGTCTTTATTAGAAGATATATTCGCCTTTAAAATTCTAGCCTTTTTTATTATTAAATTCGTCGATTATAGCCTTATTTTAGAATCCAACCTTACTAAAATATCTATACGCCGAGTTATATTGAATATTAGAGAAAAATTTATTAATTAGGAATTTCTTTCTATTTATAATAAAGTCTTTTCTTTATTTACCTAATTTAAATATAAAATATTTTCGGGTATAATAAATACAAGCTATCGTAGTATCTATCGTTACCTTTAAATTATTCGTATTTTTCTTATACTTAATAAAGCTATTTCCTTAGGAGATTATAATATCCTCTAATAAATAATAAATCTTCTTCCTATCCTATTTTACAATAGTAAATTAAATAATTATAGGCCTAAAATACTCTATTTAATATAATTACTTCGCCCCGAAATTATAGACGAACCATTCGCTAATATTATCCTATATTCTAATATAATACAGTATTCTATAGCCAGTAATTAATAAAAAACAATTAATATAATTTTCAAATATATTAATATTTCCTTTACCCTCAATATTAAATAGAATAAAAATTCAATTTACAATACAAAAAT